TGAGCCCTGAGACCTCCTTGACCACATCCCCAACTGCCAGCTCTAGACGATGATTGGAGCAGTGCCACACAAACAGGCTTGGGAATTTACTACACAACTGGGTAGCAACGCCTGTTCTCTTCCCTAGCATGACTGAAGCCCCATCACATGCAAAAGAAACGAAACACTGACCTAAAAAGTCCTCGTTAAAATCTCTTCCAAGACACTCCATTAACGCCTTTGTGATGTCATCAGCCGTTGTTCCATCCAACTCGATCAGCTCCCAAAAAAACGTTTCGGGCTCAGCATCAGCTAATGCTGAGCGTAGACACACAACAAGCACCGTTTTACCACTAATAGTGGTAGATTCATCGACCAAAACACAGAGTTTTCTTTGGTTTTCTGTAATGTCTTTTGCCATTTTTTTCTTCAGCTCATGAGCTATGTGGTCGATGATTTCGCCACAGGTTTTATTGGAGTGCAAAACCCTGCCCACGTTCAGCCCATTCAGTTTCTGTACATTCAAATCAATTGGCATGTCTGTGAATGGCCGGCTATGTTTGCCAATTTTATATGCCGTTCGAAAAACTCTGATAGTGGTGTCTAATTCAGATTTATGCATAGACTGCACTTGATGTTGAATAGTTTCACGTGAAGCAGATGTAAGGATGTCAGAAGCTTTTACATGGGCTTGTGATTCTTTATGTTCTTTGATTTTTTTTCTCAGGCTAGCTTGTTGTTTGCCCTTGTCAACACCGAAATGAGACACTGCACACTCACCCCATTCAGTTGACAGTTTCAGTCCTTGTCCAGTGTGTATTCCCAAAGATTTGACATCTCTGCATATCCGACATCCTAGCTTCTTATCTTTAAGAAGGAGCCATGCATTGGTCTTGCAAAAATATTGCACCTGGTCCGTTGTCCAGCAGTCAGGTGCATCGCTTTGCCCGGTGTTGGTGGTGGCAGTTGCGTCAGCAGCAGCTAACGTTAGAGGCTCTGGAGGAGGCGGCGGAGCTAGTGCTAATGCTAATGCACTAGAACTTGGAGCAGGAGGATCAACCAAAGAAAGCTCCCCATCAGACACAATTTCCAACACAGGCACAGCATTCTCTGTATTTGAAGTTTCTTCCGGCGACAACCGCTGTCTTTTTGCACTTTTATTAATCCACGCTAACATTTTAGAAATGCTAATTTGTGACGTGACTTGCTTTCCTTCTCTCGGGGGCGTGCCTGCTCTGTTCTATCACTCTACATAGCCACCCACTGGGTGGGAGTTGCACTGCATAAACACAACACACGTGCATCTAGGTATGTAAATTGTAAAGCATTAAAACATGGTTTTACTAACAGTTTTCAGTATGTTGTTACTTCGGCATTATTATTATTATTATTATTTTGAAACGTGTATTACTATTAAATCACGGTCAAATAGGTTAATTTTGACATAGTCGTTTCCACCACAGTATTTACATGGAGAAGATAAGCCCCGCCCCCTCTCCAGCACGTTCTGTTTGAATGACAGGAGTAAACAGCTGACAGCCGCTGTGAAACTCCAGCGGTTAGAGCGATGAGAATGTCCGTTCGGCACCTCATGACGCATCTACTGAGTACCGGGCGGCTGTATATATATATATGGATGTATAATAAGAACGGCGGGAGAGTGTTGAGTACTGGCACGGTGCATGAGTACCGGAGTACCGCCAGCATGCCGGTACTGAGCAAGAAGTGCCGGTACTCCATGGGTCAGAACCAGAAGTGCCGGTACTGCGTACCGGTGAGTACCGGCCCAATTCCAGCACTGGTTATACTGAGTGATATATATTATACACACTGCTCTGCGTTCTGCATTGACCTTACAGCTGTTCTCTCTGGAAACATCGCGACGCGATGAAAGCAGTTTCTAAAATAATATCCAGGGCCCAAGAGTTCAAAACTTTTAATCCCTATCTGATCAGATCAGATTTATCTTTTGGGGAGTTCAAAACCAAACAACAGGATTAGGATCACTTTGATATCCGATCAGATCAGGAAATCCAATCCAAGCTTTAATCTGGATCAAATCTTCAAAACGAGTAGTTCAAACCGACAACACAGGATTGGGATCAATTTGATCCCAAACAACTGGATTATCCTGATCCCACCAGAGGGGTGGATTTCCAGTGGATTACCAGAGTAAAATGTACTGTACAATTTATTTTAAAATACATTTCAATTTAAATTAGATGGCAAAGTTTGTTAACTGAAATAATACACAATTGTTAGCCTTCATGGGAAATACATTTTATTTTTCCATTTTTTGCTCACGCTTGTGGTGTCCTATTTTGTTTTCAACCAAATGTTGATGACATAAATGTTTATGCTCATGAAAGTATCACAACAAAGATTGTCAATCACAAATGTAATTTAGATTAAATTAAAAATATCTTCAACAAAAAAAAGTCCATCACCTTTCAAAAGTAATTGCAGACAATAGCATCTCGCCTTGCACCACCACTCAGTCTCTCATTTAGAGGGAAATCCATAGGTGGGCCTAGATCATCAGCAGGTGCGAGGGGCTCTGGGGGATCATCGATGTCAGAGAGGGGGACTCTGCGATGGACAGCGATATTGTGTAGCACAATATAAGCCAGTGTTATTTGGCATGCTCCTTGGGGTTCCACTCTCAGATAGTTGAGGCATGCAAAACGCCTCTTCAGTACTCCATTCAAGCGCTCAATGGCACACCTTGTTCTTCCATGGGCATTGTTGTTGCGCATCTGTGAAGGAGTGTTGGCCGTGGGAAAACGTGTCATCACCCATGGTAGGAGTGGGTAGGCACTGTCGGCTAATATAACTCCATCCGGCCTGTTGGTTTGGAATTCAGTGAACAACCGGCTCTCTCTGAAGATACGTGCATCGTGGACTGACCCAGGCCATCTCACAACACAGTTGGTGATGGCAAGGTCAGCATCTCCCACAAGTTGCACATTGATGCTGTGTCTCCCTTTCCTGTTGACATATTCTCACTCCCTCTGACGAGGTGCTTGAATATGTACATGGGTGCAGTTGATCACCCCAATGGTGTTGGGCATGTCTCCCAGAAAAAAAAAGTTCTGCTTCACTTTGGCAATCTGGCCATCAGTGGGAAAAGTCACAAAGTGATCCAGCAGGCGAGCCAGTGCATCAGACACAGCTGTCCCCACTTCACCCACTGTTGTCCTGTGGACTCCCATGCTGTCAGCTATGACCTCATAGAATGTTCCACATGCGTAAAAGCGCAGGGCAATGAGGACCTGTTCCTCTACAGTCAGAGCATGACTCCGCAAGGTTCTGCACTGCAGTTGTGACCTGACAAGATCAGCAATGTAGTTGATGTCATCAAGTCCAAATCAAAAACGATTGTACAGTTCTTCTGTTGTGTACTGTTGGAGAGGTTTGGGGCGCTCGGTGTGGACCCTTTGGCGGTAACCTCTCCTTCCAGCATGGAAGATGTGAACAACCCCTGCCATGACTGTGTTCTGACTGTTGTTTCAGTCAGTAGGCCTACATCAGTCTCTGAATAACAACTAATTGCAAATACACACCTGGAATGAATGTCCAGATTGGTTAGGGCCTGTGGTTAATTATGTAATTAATAGCAAGGCCAGACCTATAAAACTAATTGCTGACCTGACCAAACCATTGAGTTGGAAAGATGGACAAAAAGGGGCCTAATTTTACATCTGCTGAGACCCATGCACTGCTGCTGGGTGTAAGGAACAATTATGACTCCATAGTTGGTAACTTTAACAGAGAGGGTGGAGCGACTAAAGTAAAGAGCGGAATATGGATGGAAGTTACAGACAATGTGAATGCCTCAGGATCTGGACACAAGAGGACGGGGGACCAAGTGAAGTTGAGGTGGAAGAATTTGAAGCAGCAAGCTACCAAAGACCACAGCCAGGCTAAAAACCCACAGACGGGTAACACACCACATAAAAGGGGACAATACACAGATGTGGTACTTGATATCATTGGTGGTCAGCAGTCACAATCTTTACATGGAATACCAAACGTTGTACTGGATGGTGAGTCGCAGGTATGTGTGATTTTATCCTTGTTCCTATAGAACTACAATTATTATCTTGTATAATTGTTATTTTCATAGTACTACAATGGCTATATGTCTTACATAGCATCCTAGTACTACAATTTTCCAGGTTGCATGCTTGTGATCATCTTATTAAGGGGTATAAAGTATATTGATAAACTTTCATTTCAGGTCGTCAATAACCTGATGTGACACACACCATTGAAGATGAGGTCCTCCTGACCCATGTGGATCCAGAAGCTGGACCTTCAGCCAGGCCTGATGACACACTGCAAGAGCCACCTCTAAAGAGAAAATGCAAGCGCACCAGAAAACCAGAGCAGAGGGATGATGCCTACGAGACTCTGCTGAGCCGTGAAATGGAGAGGGCAGAGATGCAGATCCGTCTGGCCGAAGAACAAATACAGCTGTGCCGGCTTCAGCAAACTGAAACCTCACTGAGAATTCAGCTCCTCAAAGCACGCCTGGATGATCCAGCTGCCTTTGAATGAATGCTTTATTGTTGTTACCCTAGTGGGAGTATTTTTTTTAATTACAATTTCATTATGATTTGATGTCCTTTATGTATTTAAAAATATAATTAAACATTATAGATGTCTGCAATGTGGTCTCTTGTCTTCCTTGTATTATTTTTCATGTCCACTAGATGGCGATCGGTAGGATTAAAGCACTGATATTCAGGATCTAGTCATCTTGAAAAATCGTAATCTGGATCAGATTGATCCTATCCTGAATTGCTTTGAACTCCAGGGACAACATTTGGCTGACTTGTCTGATCCTGGATCACAACAAATGGGATTTCAAAATCTGATCGGATCTGATTGAGATTAAAAGCTTTGAACTCTTGGGCCCTGGGGATGCATGCATAGCTGTCATTGGCTGAGATAAGTCCGGCCGTGCGTCACGCCTCCACCGTTCCCGGAAATGCATCCGTGGAGGAGCCGTGGAGGAACCATCAGTGTATCCTCGGTTATAGCTCCTCCAGAGAGCCTCCTCGACGCTCGATGCTCGATCCTCGGTGTGCATTTAGAGAAATGAGACGTCCTTCAAAATGGCGCGCTGAAATTCATTTCCGGGTCACTACCGGAGGACCGAGGAGTCGAGGAGGGGAAATTTGAGTATTGAGAAGCCTCTATAGACTTATATGTCTATGATTATACATCCATGGAACGACCAGACACATGGCAGCAACGTTCCCATCTGCTTCATTCATTTCTCCTGTTCAACAGGTTAGTAGTGTGGACACAGATTATGTCATATTTCGATCAAAGAAGTGTGTTTGAAACTGTTTTATGTGTAGTTTCATGTCATTCTGTGAGCTACGCCACTAGCGTGTGGCTAATGGCGTCCGCTAGCTTCTTTAGCTCAGGCTGTTGCTCCCTGAATAATGTAGGGCTCTACCATGTTACCATGTGTATGACTCCCTTGCACTAGTTTGGCTTACATTTCAATTTTATTCTGTTTGTATAAATATGTGAAATGCTGGTCTGAGGTCATAATTGTTCATATTATTTAAATGCTAAAGCGCTAATGCTATGCTAATAGTGTGCCTGTACAACATAGCAATGTTAAAGTGAGTACAGTCGACCGGGTTGTATGTGTGTTATCTGTAATCACTGTATTATATACTGTAAATGAAAAAGTCTTTAATCCTTCATCAAAGTCATAATATGGCATGTGGATTTATGTCCATTTTTGATTAGAGACACATATGTCATACGGTTATTTTGATTTGCTAAATGTATGTTTACATTCTCAGTTAGCTTCAGGCCTCACTGAGGCGAAGTATTGAGGTAGAAAGCTGGTGAAGCCATTTCCTGCTGTCATTATATTCTGTTTGCACAGATAATAAACCTGGTTGACAAGAAGGAAGTCGTTTTCATTCGACACAACGCAGAGATACATGTGGCGTCAATCCAGACCGGTTACACAAAGAATGATAAATAGAGAAAACAGATATAATTTGTAAGTGAATTTATTAATTTGTTTAATACATTCTGGCTAGAACGACCACACAAACGGCAGCAACTTTCCCTCTGCTTCATTCTTTTCTCCTGATCAACAGGCTTATTATCTGATTACCAGCTCTGCACAGCGGACTTGTAACACTAGCAGCAGTGGAGATGGAGCATCAGAACCTGGAGAATACAGCAGCAACAACAAGGATCCATTTGGAGATAGGTAAACGTAAATATTACAGTAATAGTGTACTTTCATTGTGTGGGTTTAGTTAAATAGGTTGTAAGAGAGAGAGACTCCTGTCCCACCTCCCCATTTTATTTTGAGTTGTGCATTGTTATTTGTGCTTGAGAAACATTCCACTTGAACTTTATATTTTAATGAACTTAGTAGTAAATATTGTCCTATATTTCTTTCCGATTTCACAGCTGCCTGCGCCTAGCAGCAAGAACCTCCATCTGTGCCTGCACCCAGGTCAAGATCTACCGTGGCTCAAGGGCCTTCACCAGAGCCATCACCATCAAGGACCAGAGGACCAGCATCACTACAGCAGCCTCCACCTCCATCTGTGCCTGCCACAAGATTAAGATACACCTCGGTACAAAGGCCTCCACCACAGCCATCACGATCAACCCAGCCAGCAAAGAAGTCTCGCCTAGCACACCTCCCTCCCTCCGACACAGCCACCAGCAGCCCATGCACCATCACCCCCACCTACACAGCAGCCAGACCCGGGTTGCGTTCCGATAATCCAAAAATTAGCTCCTAAGTTCTAACCCTATCTCCTATTACTTGACCTCTGAGTGAAACGTCACGGGGTTAAGGGATAGTGGATAGGAGAATTCAAAAGGACTTAGGAGAAGAGACTGCGGTACTTTAGAGAATCCGAATGCACTTTCACTATCCGACGTGTTTATGATGCGCCAGCGGACGTCATTGTGTGCGTCTGCTGCTGTGGGGAAACTATGGAAACTACAGTTTTCTATACAGAGGACTACAACATGGATGTTTAATAAGAACGAGGGACTACTGTAAACTCATCTAGAGACTCTGCACCGTGCTCTGATGCTGTTGCTTTATGCTTTATGAACGTGGACAACAGAGAAACATATTCTTCATGACCAAAGTTGGAATTGAAATAAAAAAAGTGAAACTTATGCTCGTCACCCTCTCCCTCCGGTCCACATTAATACAAATGATCCCAATACGTATGATTGTATGAACTATTAAAATATCTTAAAATAAATACAAATGTATTTATTATAAACGTTAGTCCTTAACACCTATCACTGTGTATATCACCATTCAAACATCTTTTAAAAGTTGAACAAACCCCACACAGCTCAGTGAAATGTTGACTTTATTTGATCATTTCAGTAAAAACTAACGTTCATATTTCTCTTTTTGATTATAATACTGATGAACGTTCAAAACAAAGCACTTTGGCAACTTACCACATACGTTTTAAAATGCGTCATAAGCACCGTAACTTTCATGATATAATTTCTCCCATTATCGTTTGTGTCCGTGAACGGCCGACTGTTGTGTGACGTCAAATGCTGTGGCTGCAATGCATTGTGGGGCAGCATTTTCTCCTCTCCTTTCGGTAAGGGAGGTCCAGTGGTTCCTAAGCTAAAGGAGGTTATAGAGTTGACAGTGGAAACACAATTTGCTGTTTTCTTTGGGACCACTAGATGGGGCTCTCCTCCTTCAAGATGACTCAACTGAATTCAAGTCCCAACACAGAATATCATATATTTTGCATTTATAAGGTCTAATGCTTATTTTTTAAAAGCTTGGTTTTAAATATGTATCCCCCTCTACCATAAAACAACAATGTTATTTACCCAGGATATTCAAAATTCTAAATATTTACTCTGATTTGAGCACAAGTAGGCCAAATTGCTGTGTCCCAAACGTCCCAAATCATGTTTGCTCAACTTCTGTAACAGATATCAAAAAGAAATCAAACAAATTATACATTTTTGTCACTGTTGTATACCCCTTTTGCTAATATTCCTCACCAAATTTAATTTTTTGTTATTAATTCATTTTTATTGTTTAAAGTTTTTTTTAAAGTGTGTGTCCCGTTTGAATGTCCCCCCTGTTACTCTGATTTGAATCCCTCTGGACACGCCCCTTTACTATTCGTATGACTCAAGATTGAAGGATACATTTTGAGTGGGAAGTGGGAACCATAACATCATCTTCAAGAAGCAGAGTGAATGCATTCTTCCTTCAACGTTTTTTAAAAATGTTTTAAAGAACTTAACTGTAAAGCATAACATGTCCACGCTGTTATGCTCAGTTTTAATGGAAACTGATCGTTTGTTTTACATTTAGAAAATAGGGTGAATATATCTATCAAATATATGTTTCTGTTGCTATAAGTGCTAGCTTGATTATCATCACGCATGTAGCCTAGCAATAGCTAAGTGTAGCATAAAATGTCCACCCTGTTACTATTTTTCACATTAACAGGGTGGACACACAGTAGGCTTGTTTGAGACAAGCGAGACCTGCGCAGTTGCGATCAACGTCTTGCTAGTGCGTTCATGGATGTATGATTGCATGATGGTTAGTCATTTTGTCCGACTTGCTCTGGAGGCTCGCCTACATGAGACGCGGGACAAAGACGCCCGCAGCCTTACGGCCCGTCTACACTACAGGCGTCAAAAAAGCTTGAAGCTGGGCGTGTCTGAAGCTTGGCGATTTTTTGCGAGCAACGCGACCAACAACCAATCACATGAATCTCCCGCCCCCGACATACAAAGCAATAGCAATGTTAAAACGAAGTAAACTGGATATAAACTCCCCAAACAGGCGAAAACCTACCAGTTTCACCCACTGTCTCTGCCACCTCCCTCCATGCCTGGCTCCTCCGGTTTGTATCCCGGTAAATAGTTCTGGTCGGAAAGAACCAGGTGATTTGCTACCGTAATTTCTCGTTTGGAATATGAGGAAATGAACTGCGGTCTGGCTCTCCCAGCTTGCACGCGGTTTGATTGGCTAGCGCTTGTACTGGCGGAATTTGCATAAACGGGATTTGATTGGCTGACGCCAGCTTCGAGCAAGCATCGAGCTTGAACATTGTTCAACTTTTGACGCCGATAGACGCTCGCGATGCTTGCAACGCCTTGCCATGCTACCCACAATGCAGTTCGGCGAAGTTTGAAAATATCCTACGTCACCCCATTCAAATGAATGGGCGAAGCGTTGAAAGCATTTTTTGACGCCTGTAGTGTAGACGGGCCGTTACGGCCCGTCCACACAGCGGCGTGCGTTGAAGCTTCCAACGCTTCTGCCCATTCACTTTGAATGGGGTGACGTCACTTTTAGCCGAAATGCATTTTGGGAAGCGACGTGGAGCGTTGCTGGCGTAGCTGGCGTCAAAAGTTGAGCAATGTTCAACTTTTGACGCCTCGACGGAGGCGTCAGCCAATGAAATCCCGTTTATTCAAATCTGCCAGTACAATCGCATAGCCAATCAAACCGCGTGTATGCTGGGAGAGACTACGCAGGTCATTTCCTCATATTCAAAAAAATTGAGGGGAAATTCATTGTAGCGGTAGTGAATCACCCGGTGCTGTATGATCAGTCTCTGTTCATCTACCGGGATACAAACCGGAGGAGCGAGGCATGGAGGGAGGAGGCAGAGACAGTGGGTGAAACTGGTAGGTTTTCGCCTGTTTGGGGATTTTATATCCAGTTTACTTCGTTTTAACATTGCTATTGCTTTGTATGTCGGGGGCGGGAGATTCATGTGATTGGTTGTTGGTCGTGTTGCTCGCAAAAAATCCCCAAGCTTCAGATACGCCCACCTCCAAGCGTCAACGCACGCTGCTGTGTGGACGCTCCGTTAAAGAGCGAGGCGCGGCGAGGCGAGGCGAGGCGAGGCGCGGCGAGGCGGCGCAGTTCCTCTCCACGGGCTGCGGAAGCGAAATGCTTGATGGGAAACGACTCGCTGGTATCTCGAGCTGAGCGCTCATTGGTGGTTTTTACCCCGTGCTGCTGATGAAACTCTCCAATTGGCTCCGCAAAAGTTTGTTGTTGTTTTGTGTCAGTTTTAAGTCGCCACATCCATTTCCATTTTTCATCATTGTTCCACAATGTTTATCATCATGAAATTAATATCTATATATTTTATACTATACTTGCACTGCTTACCGTTGTCATACTTTATATATCTTAGCATATTCATACACACTGTTCATACTGCTCACAGGCTGATATCTAGTGTATTCATACCCCTCACTGTTTATTCATCATTCAATTCATTCTATATTTTATTCTGTCTATTGTGTACATTACTTTTCACTTTACTGCTTGTTGCACCTGGTTAGAAGCTAAACTGCATTTTGTTGTCTCAGTACCTGTATGTGCAATAACAATAAAGTTGAATCTAATCTTGAGCAGGAACAAATGTATTTACTTAGTACATATCTGACATTAACGATTAAACACATGTGTGCATTCTTTATAAATGCAAACCGAGTCAAGCCGACTCCGGAGGTGGCGGTATGCACCTTAAAGTTGTTTGCAATCCGCCAAAAAACCGAGAGAAGAAGAAGAAGAAGAAGAAGAAGACGAAGCCGTCTACTTTCGAGGCGAGCCGCAACGCGTCTCAAACAAGCCTAGTAACGGTTGGGGATGTTAAAAAATCCTGATCTTGACCAAAATATTTTTCTTATACTTTAACAAGCCATCATTCAGATTAAAATTGAAAAAACATGGACAATTATGTTTTTTATTTTTGATTAACCATAGCTGAAATGGCACCGAATGCTAGGAATGCCTCATGTTTAAAATCAAAATACAGCACTGAAACATGGTTAACTCATATCCACTATTGCTAATTTCATAATGTGATATGCTATGGCCTAATGTTTTATGATGCTGTGAAATATTTAGTTGTATTTTCTAAACGGAGTTATATCAGAAAACAGACATGCCATTCACACATTATATCAGTGTATGTTATGTATAATAAGAAGCAGCTCACACCTTTTATTGAACTTCTCACACTGGTGACACACAATTTCTTCCAGGACCCTGTACTGTCAGTGAAACCTCCTTTGTTTACAGACTCTTATTACCGGCTGGACAAATCTGGCTTCAAAATAAAAGTCAGCACTAAATTCGGCGCACATCAGAACATGTATAATAATGTAATTGAAATATTAAACATAACAAAAGAGAGTATTTCAGTTTTTGTTTTTTCGTATGGTAATTATTGTAAGTGTAAGTGACGTTAAGTAGTCGATTCACGGTCATTGGGAGGCACATGACATGACAGTACCATATTTACACACATGAACCCGAAATTGGTTGGGCGACCTTATTTGTCATGTTTATGAGTATCCTTTACCAGGCACGTGCACACATAGACATCAAAGTGGGCTTGAGCCCCTGCCCTTTTTCTTCCTCCAGAGAAAGTGCCCTTTTCCCCCCCTTTTTTATATTTTTTATAAATGAAAATATATCTACTGTTTGCGCACAGTTTCCCTTTCCAAAAATATATTGATTGAATACAAAATGAAAATATCAGGTCGGGAGATTAGACTGTGAAGTTCCGTAGCTCTCCCTCCCTCCCTCCCTCTCTCCCTCCCTCCACGTCTCCTGCACAGCGGTGTGGACATCGGCAGTCCCTTCAGACAGACAGGTAGCAGCACCTCCCACTTTACTGCTCCATGTTATGCCGGCTTTTATTGGCTTATTTTGAAGGTGAGTGGTGATGAACAAATTACTAAACTGCCAGTGCCTCGAGTTTACAGCTAATTAGTTAAAAGACAATAACAAATATATAGTTAACTAAGGCTACTAGCTAATGGATACGTTAGCTCAAGGTTTAGCTAAGGCAATTTATCACGGGCATACAGGCTAATGTACTGTACTCAAGGGGAGACACTTAAAGTGAAAATAGTAAAATGTGTATCTAATAAAGTCATCACAATCGCTACATTGATATGCAAATCAGGCGTTAACTATAGGCTTAATTAAAATGCGTTAATTTGCATGCGGTTACCAAGGCATTGCAGGTAGAAGGATAAAACAAAAAATCACCTGACAACTTCCCCAGATAGTTACTCACGTCAAGTCAATATTTTCCCCTGAAATGTTATGTTTATATATGCAGATTAGCTTTAAATCTAGCCTATAGATTAATTCAGACATGGTAGTAAAACGAACATCATTTATATGCATTTCTTGGAAGTTTTCTTTCCATTAGAGTGAAAGAAAACATGGAAGCAAAATAGACCAAAATAACAAGTAGGCCTACATGAAAAAACTATCTTTTAGCCTGTAATGTCCTTAAACAGTAACTTCATAATTTTGATTGTTGGCTGCTCATTTAATAACTATGAATTGTATTAGTTTGTTGTCTACTCTTGTGCTTAGTGAATACTAAATAAGACTCTCTGTGTTAGCTGATTATTTTGGAGAATTCTGTTGAGTATTAAACAATTGCATGAGTGTGAGGGTATTAAAATAAATTGGTCAGTAAGTCAGAGATGTGCAACTATATTTAACTTTTTGTTTTAAAACATTTTTTTATAAATGATTATGGGAAGTGCCCTTTTTCTCACTTGAGTACCTGCCCCCCAAAATGTCTGTGCACGTCCCTGTCATGTATGCACATGCCTTCAGGTAAGTTAAGTAGTCGATTCAAGTTTTGTAGGAAAATGCAGCGGCACTATTCACACTCAAAAACATTTGCATGGTTTTGGGCCTACCTTGATTTAAAAACGGGGCCCATTCGCGTATCTTTCTGGACGAATATGTCACCGATTTGTTGAAGAAGTCCAATGAGGTTTTACAAATCTCTCCAACTAAATAGTAATCATTACCGTGGATGTTTTGTTAGAACTAGCTAACGTGGAGGGGGAGCTTTTATTCTGAAGGTTCAATCCGGAAGCTCTATCATTTTGACTTGACGCAGGTTTGTGTGCAGCCCCTCCTTCAGCTGAGCAGCGTGAGTTACTCGGAGGTGACGGAGACAGACAGCTGATCCTCCCCTGGTGCAGAGGCAGAGGAGTGGGGACCACGCACCGCCTCCGCCCGCAGACACCGTCACGGGCCGGGGATGGCGTCGCTCGGCGTGGGGCTGCATCTTGTCCGCAAGCGGGGATCAGGCAGGAGCTCCGCGGTGGAGAGGAGGAATCTGCTCACGGTGTGCAGGTAGGGATGAAACTGCGTCTGACGACAGATTTGTTAATCAAATGAGGTCAGAGGCGTTTTGTTTGAGGTTAGCTTGGGGAGCACATCAATGTTTAAAATATGACTTCAAAGTCATTCTGTCTGCTGGATAAGATGCATAACAATATTATTGAAACAATTATCAAATATCAGCTGGCTGACCTCAGGTAAATTCCGTAATCCTGTTTGTTTTGTACATCATGTGCATCTCTTTCATTCATTCAAACACACAGATACGCCCACCATCAGCAGCATCCATTAACAACAATCACATTTCACTCTCGATTACACTGACTATCAGTCCAATCACTCCAATGTATAGGACTAAGCCCAAGATTTTAGAAATACACACCACATTTGTCTCTGTTTGTTTCTGATTGATGCTGAGGTGTGCTCACACATGTCACCTGCCTGTGTCTCCCCCTCCTCTATGTGTCAGTTCATGTTAAAAGCGCTCCGAGTATTGATCTGTGGTCCTCTCAGAGCTGTTGGCACATGTCAGTTACTGATTGAGAGTCCCTGTGGTGCGCTTGAGACAGAAGAGCAGAAAAGGTCAGACAATAGGGAAGATATGGATCTGAACTTCTTTTATTTTTTAGCACCAAGAAAGTGTAAGCGTTCAGAAATAATAATGATCATGCACCACCTGGCATCTGCTCAGTTTACAGAAGAACATGTTCAGGTATCAGGAAAGTGTCAGATGTTATTTTTCCTACCTCTATTAAAGTAACTCAAAACAGATGCAAAGGGAGAGTAATTATAGGCAGGAACACTCTGGTTGTTCCTGCCTCCGCACCAGGCACCATCTCGCTAAATGGCACAAGGAGGGAGAAGAGGCAGAGAAGTGATGTCGGATTGGCAAAAGGAATAAACCGAAGATGAAATATTAGTTGTTTTAAAGAAAGACCTGCACAAAATAGAAGCAAGAAAACAACTTCTTACATATTCTTTCTCTCTTTTGTTTTCCCCTGAAGCAGCTTTACTGTTGTCAAAATCCTCTTCTTCCAGACTGTGAGACAGAATCTTAAAGACCTGAAATGATTTGCATAATTCGACTGGCAGATTGATGAGTCATTTTAGGCATTTTTAAACAAAATGCCAAACATTTACTGGTTCTATTCTAAAATGTTGACATTTGATTTTCAGTATGATACACTTTATATTCTTGTGTTTATGACTGATGGTTTCTCCATATTGTGAGTTTTAGGAAAATGTTTGTGATGCTGTGATAAATCTCCCTGATCTCCCCTGTCTGTAAAAGCCTTCTCCGCTGAAATGGACACTTTCTTTATAATGTTGCCTCACTCAGATTAGTCAGCCTTAGCTGCAGACCCCAATTAACCACAACTAATCTTGTTGATGTAGCTTTTCAATAGACATGTTGACATGTCACAGCAGGAATAGCAAAGGTGTAATCAATATCATTAATAACTTCAATCCATTTAGGTCAGCCAGTTTCAAGATCATGGTATAATACAGAAAATAGGCATCATTAATTATATTTGTTGTGCTTTTCCTTCAATGACAAAATGTCTTCTGTGAAAACAACTTTTAAAAGTTGATTATTTATGGTATTGTGCTGGAAGAAGATCGTTTTTATTTTGGTGTTAATCATAATATCAATCATGTTCCAGTATTATTCATTTTATTCATGTTTGGACCTGTGTTCAAAATGTTTTCTGTGAAAAAGACCTCCAATAAGTAAAACATGTTGTGGGGTAAGGGTGAAAAACAACCTCATCAGTAACATTTAAATCCAGCGTTAAACATCTGTGTGGGCGGACAGTCGCTGTTGATCCTTTGACAGTCTGACTCTAAATGAACTGCTTTATTCAGTTGATGCAAAGGAGAAATCGATGAGTTTGACCCATCTTAAGCCAATTTACAAAATGTTACCAGGCCTATTGGTTAGTGGTATTTATTGTAATTTAAATGTCTCTGTAAAGCATTTTGGTCAACATCTGTGGTTTCTTGAAATGTGATCTATAAATACATTTGACCGGACTGTTGCAACCGTCTTCATAGATATACAATTTCTAAGACCAATATGTGTAATGTGGAGTACATCTTCAAGTTTGCCTAGAATTTGAATTGCAACAGCAAACATGTACAACACATTGTACATTGGTTTTTCCTTTATTTCATATTTCAGGTTTTCAGGTTGTCAATGTACCAAAATGTTTTCTGTGTGAATGTTAAATAAAAGTATTAGCTGAGAGAGTAAATGCAATTTACTTAACACAGGAAATTAGGCTTGTGTAAATTCCTTTGAAGATAAAGGTTGTTTTTCAAAACTGACTGAAATATACACGATATTTAATTAAAACCTGCCCTAAATCATGGAAATAAGATGAAATCTTCTTCTTCAAAGGAAGCCTCTGTGGTCACCCTGCTGCTTAGCAACGAGATAGGGAGAGATGAAGTCAGATTATTTAGCTGACGTTAAGGGCTACTTTCATTTGGCAGATTTTGTACAACACACACACACACGTCGATTAACTCTCCTTCCTGTCTCATCAGTTGAATGAGATTGAAACCAAATTATACAGACTGTCGGTGCACAGACATGTCACAGTGGGCAGAACATAATGCTGATATCATCACAGGATATTAATGTAACCCTCATTACAGCTATAAGGCCAGATGTGTTTTGCATATGTTTCTTGAAATATTAAAAAATAACTTCACATTGCCTTTTACATTGCTTTAGGGTCAGTGTATGTTTTGGCCATTGGATTTTCTTTTCACAAATGGAAATTCAAAAACAAAAAGCGACTGGATATTTGATTTTCGTTTTCAAATTGAAAAACCAAAATTGAAATACAAGGCGTTTTTCTTTATCATGGTCAAAAAGGGATTTACTAAACTTAAAAAACGGGATGATTTTCATTTTCTACTTCTCAAAACAAAAAATAAAATCACTAGAAAACAGAAACAAAAAAACCCCCCGTTTTTTCATATTCTGCTACCGGAAGTTGTCTTTCAAAATAAGAGCGCAGATGAGGACGGTCAATCCGTGTATCTACGGTCCATTTGTTCTCACAACGAAAACAGCCAAGACACATATTGAGCCCAGATAATGAATGTTATTGAGGGCTGGAAATATAATAAGCCTATGTCTAAAATGGACAACATTGTTAGGAGATTTCAACTATACAGCGATTCTGCACTGCGGTCACTCAGCCGTCTCTCGAGTTTGTTAGTTATTCGTGAGTGAGATCGATCCTGTTGGACTCAGTAGCCTACTAGTGAAACTACTCCCACAACAAGTACTATGAAGTACTTACTGTGTACTTTTTGAGTAATCCTCTGTCAATGTCCCCTCCTGAGAACAAGAATGCATGTTTCTCTGCTATTTTGAATCAGCGTTAAAACACCTTTCTTCATTGTTGGACAGAGTATTTTAAGAGGATGGTAAGCATCCAGCAATACCTCCGGTCAGTAGTCCGGCAGCAGCATTTTTACTCCTTGGAAAGTCTTGCCCGCTACTTAAATTGACTTTGATTGAAGTTAATAACAATATTGATATTATATAGATATAGCATATTTGATGCAGTCTTTCTGAACACTTTTAAAATAAAATACTGCAAATTAAGAATATTTTTAATAGTGCCTTATCCCTTATGGCATGACTTTATTTTGGGAGGAAAAACAATGTTTCACCATGTGTTTTAGGAGCTTAGGGGTCAATGATATTATATCAATTATAAAATGTGACCCCCCACACCTCTCAACCAGGGGTTGGTTTGTTGACTCAGGGCAACAATGATATAATACGAGGGTATTGAAACACCAAGGATTTCTACAATTCAGAAGAAATAGAAAAAACAACTCTATATGAATTCAAAAGGTTTTCTTTGTGTGTGTGTGTGTGTGTGTGTGTGTGTGTGTGTGTGTGTGTGTGTGTGTGTGTGTGTGTGTGTGTGTGTGTGTGTGTGTGTGTGTGTGTGTGTGTGGTGTGTGTGTGTGTGTGTGTGTGTGTGTGTGTGTGTGTGTGTGTGTGTGTGTGTGTGTGTGTGTGTGTGTGTGTGTGTGTGTGTGTGTGTGTGTGTGTGTGTGTGTGTGTGTGTGTGTGTGTGTGTGTGTGTGTGTGTGTGTGTGTGTGTGTGTGTGTGTGTTTCTGTACTTCCTCTAAGAAGAAAGGACAGTAACAGAAGATCTCTGTGGCTTCAGGCTTGATCGCCGTTCAAATGACAGCGTTGGTTTCCCCAAAAGTTGGTGGGCTGTAAAGTGACGTAGATTTTACTCTCATCTATTATTCAAAACCATTCTATTTATTCTAACGTAAATTACATGCCAGTGTTTTATCTTTTTATTTATTTGATTTTATTTTAAATCGTATAATGTCTGACTTTTTTTCCCATCTGTGAGGAAAATAAATGGGTTTAGAGCCTCAAAATACTGAAATCTGTATTTTTGAAAATCTTTTTTTCCTTCTAATTTGTTATTATTTTCTAAATAACACACTGTTATTTACTCAACAATAACACACAATTATCCTTGTTTTTATTTATTTGTTTAATTCTATAATCTTGGGCTTTTTAGCATGCTTTTTAGCCGTAAATAAAGTCACTGGAAACAGACGTAGGCCTACAGTATAAGGGACATTTCGAGCAATACACACCACAAACCCACTGAACAGATTACCCAAGATCCTCAGCTTGAAGCTCGTTGATTGGATGTTTTAGCCACAATGCATGTTGGGATATGATGTTAATGCGATATGATATCCGAAAACATTTTTAAAAAAAATACTTTATTCCGAGTGTTCTTGCTTTTCTCTTTGAAAGTAATCACATAACGGCATTGTAATACAAATACACGGTTCGGCTGCATTACATATTACATATCTGACGTAGTTCTTTATTTATAGAGCCCTGATGAGAAGAATTCTGGACAAACAGGAGAACTACCGCCAAAACTGAATATGTAACTTGGATCATAAATATATCAACAATTAAACAACATCTTGCATTTCTTTTCACACAATACGTCTCCTTGCAGTATCAACACTAATTTGGCTGACTTTTATATTTGATCCAATTGGTAGATAGGTTATATTTACACCATAACGGTGCACAGCTGATAGAAAAGGACTTGTCATTTTTAAAGATATTACTGATTTTCTTTGAATATAAGAATGTAAATACTGAGTTGAGCGAATAGTCAGGGGATTTGGGCGATGGGAGACATATCTATGGATTCACAATTTCAATAGCTTACCATTACATGAGGGATATGCCTTTCTGTCTGTGATGTTTTACAAATCAGATATTAATGTGTAGAAGTAAAACATGAGAAATAGTATAGCAATATCCTGTAAAATTATGTAAAAACATGAATAAAACTACACATCTTCAGATGTTATACATACATAAGTGTCCTACACTAATAATACAAAGTTATAATTAGTATGCTGTGTGTACCTTGTCTGCACCGCCTAGTGGTTAAAGCACGTTATTGAATTATTTTTGTTGAATAATGTTATTTGATGAAAACAATATTAAGAGTACATACTTTCATAGGTGGAAAGTAGAAGGTCAATGATAGAAATATAGAATATAAAAAATGAAGATACTGTAAGTGATCTCTACAATAAAGCAGTTTAGTGCAGGATGTACAAAGATATTAATATGAGGATGTGCAAAACAGACAAATTAATTAACCTTTATTAACACATTAAAGAATACTTTAGGTTAAGGTCTTCTTTCAAATAAGAAAAAAGCTACAGATAAATATTAAGCCTGACAAAGTGCTTAAAGTCTAATATATTGCTTTCCTGCAATGTTAACTATGTTGAAGCACTTATTTTAACTGATATTATACACATTAATTATACTCTTATGTATGTAGATAGTATAAGAAATGTGCAGAATTTGACAGTTTAATGGTGGAGGTACACACATATTGATAGATGTCTTGTAATGTGCTGTTGAGGAACCTGTGACCCAAGTTTTTCATTCATTGCATAACTACACCGTAGTTGTGTATATGATATGTCAATACACCTTATAAAATCTTGAAATCTTGAAAGGGATGTGCAAAATAGCCATTATACAGTTTTTAAGTAACTATTAGTAGAGAATAACGAGTAATGAATATACTTTATAGAGATCTGCAGATACATGTTTAGTCTTCTCAAGCACCAACTATCAAATATCTCTCCTGATTGTTGGCACTTGACAATCACCTTTCCCTGAATTTTACTCAGGTGTAACTAAAGTCTGCTTTAAGGGTTGTTTATATTTCACATCATTAATCAGAATCTGCAGAGTTACTAAAATAAATATAGTGGAGTAAAAATACCAGGTTAACCTCTGAATTGTAGTGGAGTAGAATTACAAAGTAACAATGAGCAGCTGTCATGTGGGTATATATTAATGCTGCCCATTATGGACACAAGCGATTTTCACCCATTTATTAATTATATGTTTTAAATGTGTACGCACCAATGTGTTTCCTATCACCTAAACCTCCAGGGATGTACACAGTTCAATACTGTCAGTGTCAACTTCTAATTTTGGGAAAAAAGAAAACGTCTTTTAAAACTACAATTCCCAGTAGATGTGCCATAGAGAACATGTTGCGAAACACAATAGCCAGCATGTGTAGTTCTGGGGGGGCGTTCGAGTCCAGTTTTGGATAGTGTGCCGTGGTTTCGTTCCATTTCAAAGAGCTTGACGCTCAGTGTAACCTTGGCGCACTGCCACTCCAGCATCCAATCCCAGAGCTTGAAGATTAATCACGGGGTTTGTCAACGGGACTGTAGTGCCAAAGGATAGCTGGGGATTATGGGTAGTGTAGTGTCTTCGGCCATCCTAAACTGATTTTTTTCGGATATAATATCGCATTAACAACACCACATCTGGCTTCACAGAGATCTTCTGTTACTGTCCTTTCTTCTTAGAGGAAGTACAGAAACACGTAACTCTGGATTTGTTTTAATGTTTGAGGTGCAATAAACGACACAGCAGCTTTTTGGCATGTTAAAACTATTATTTTCTGACTCACTCATGAGAGTAACAGCTGGCGAAATTACAGCCTCGCCTACTGATTTCAAATGTGTGCTCTAAAATGATATTTACAAATGACTATTATCATTATTATAAGCAAGACAATAAATGGCAAAGATATCTAGAAAATAAAAGTATTTAAGATACGTTCACAAGAAACGTTACGTGGGAGAAAATATGTTTCTAGAAGATATGTAGAAAATAAACGTATTTGAGATACGTTCATAACGAACGTAACGTGGGAGAAAATACGTTTCTAGCTAAACGTAATTGAGAATGCAGTTTAGTTCTGTGGGAACGTAATTTTTAGGAGACAGGGTTGCGGGAGGGGACATTGACAGAGGATTACTCAAAAAGTACACAGTAAGTACTTCATAGTACTTGTTGTGGGAGTAGTTTCACTAGTAGGCTACTGAGTCCAACAGGATCGATCTCACGAATAACTATTGGCAGAAAAAATAATAACAAACTCGAGAGACGGCTGAGTGACCGCAGTGCAGAATCGCTGTATAGTTGAAATCTCCTAACAATGTTGTCCATTTTAGACACAGGCCTATTATATTTCCAGCCCTCAATAACATTCATTATCTGGGCTCAATATGTGTCTTGGCTGTTTTCGTTGTGAAAACAAATGGACCGTAGATACACGGATTGGCCGTCCTCATCTGCGCTCTTATTTTGAAAGACAACTTCCGGTAGCAGAATATGAAAAAACGGGGGTCTTTTTGTTTCTGTTTTCTAGTGATTTTTTGTTTTGTTTTGAGAAGTAGAAAATGAAAATCATCCCGTTTTTTAAGTTTAGTAAATCCCTTTTTGACCATGATAAAGAAAAACGCCTTGTATTTCAATTTTGGTTTTTCAATTTGAAAACGAAAATCAAATATCCAGTCGCTTTTTGTTTTTGAATTTCCATTTGTGAAAAGAAAATCCAATGAACAAAACATACACTGACCCTTTAGATACTTCTTATTTTTGTTTGTTGGTTATTGCGTGTTCAAATGTGCATTATCAGTGTGAGTGTGTCATCTTTTTTCACATCATTCAGACTGCGATCGGACGGCAACACAGAAAGCATTTTGTCATTGTGGCATTTACATGTCAGTGTAGGAAAATGGGGATAGATCCATTACATATTTAATGGGATGCTTACACTTCCATAAGATTTAAGGACTAACAATAGATGGATTTAAAAAAATAAAAAAAGGGTATTAACTGAAGCAACAGGGGCCAAAGTCTTCAGAATGTTCAGTATGTGTAACAAATACACTGGATCCTACAATTCCCCAAATTCTACCAGCAGAGTATTTTCTTTAGACCTTACCTCATTGTAAATCTCTATCAAGTTGACCTTTAGGCTACAGGCCCAATAACTCATTTCAATACCACCATGTGCCTCTGATTTTTGTTTTCAGGTTTTCAGTGAAGACTCTGCTGGACCGCTCCTGTTTTGATACGATAGACGACACATCTCCAGAGTTCGTTAACTTTGTTTCCATCCTGGAGCACATCCTCAGTCACAGACTCAAAGGTAAAAAACGTAAGCAATTCTCTTCTCATCGACATGAAGGTAATTTACCTACACATAGTGTTATGTTTAAACTGCATAATTCAACATTACTTTTATGTATTTGACATTAATTTGAGGTAAAGGAAACGGAAAGAGATATAACATGTGATGATGGTCCTTAGTAGGAAATGATCAGCAGTCGGACTCGTCTTTATTTAAGATAATTGTCAAATATGGACGCTGGTGTATGTACTGGCCTGTTAAAGACAAATATTTGACTTCCAAAAAGATGCAAACTTCATGTTATTTATGTCACTTCAATTTATTTGTTCTGTTAAAAAAAATAATATAACTGTATCCACTGACATTTGAATAACAAGTCCGTAATTGCTTTGTTCATTTTTAAAGTTCAGAGCACTATGCATGCAAGCTTATGAAAAAACCCTCTGTCTCTTTTTCTCTCAGGTCAGACAACTTGGTTCGGCTATGAGAGTCCTCGCAGTTTCTGGGATTACATCAAATCCGCCTGCAGCAAAGTCCCTCATAATTGCATCCGAAGCATCGAGAGTATGGAGAATGTGCGATCATCGAGAGCTAAAGTGAGTATAAGAAAAATCTTGACATCAGATTTAATTACCCAGGGCAGCAGGAAAGAAAATAACTTGAATCTTCACAACATCAGAAAGTTGAATTCAAACAGAGCGTTAGGTTAGAAAAAGTGTAATTAAGCAGAACATGTAAAATATACAATCATTATCAGTTTTATATAAGCAGCACTGCATCTTCTACAGCAGTGGTTCCCAACCTTTTTTCCCAAGAGCCCCCCCAAATGACTCCTGTTGGATGCGCCCCCCCCCCCCCCCACACACACACAGGGGGGGGGGGGCGCAACAGCGGTAATTAAAGTTTAAAAGTCTCAAAAATGCAACAACTACTGTCACAAACAGGAGGATGAAAGCGTAATTAAGGAGCACTATTGGAGTGACTTTGATGGTTATTGGACTCAGGATTAATTAATTTGGATTCCCGCTGTATGAAGAAATTAAAGGACGGCGCAAGTGGAAACAATTCACAAAGGGATTAAACTGTTTAAAACACATGCTCAAAGTAAGCCGGATTTTACCGATGTGTTTATGTGGATTCAAAAGTCGTAAATAATCTACAAAATGGAGGAGACCGATCTGATCAGAGCAACTGTGACAAATAATCCAACTGAAACCGGCATGGACAATGACTATGTTTTAAAAATGCGCTTATCCAGACAAGCCTGGTTTGGACACTTTACGGGCAGAAGAAACATTTCTATTAAAGAAACAATTATACATTTCTGTCTTTTTATGCCTTTAATACTAACTTGAATTTTTATTAAAATTAATTAGTCAATTATTTTTTATATTTTATTGTAATGTAGAGACAAGGTTTTTAGTGACAATCATGTATTGCCTTACAATTATATGTAAAAAAAAAAAAGTAAAAAAAGTCTAAATATGATATTTGGCCTCAAATCATCTGAGGCCTGGCGCCCCCCCTGCCATCTTTGGCGCCCCCCCAAGGGGGGCGCGCCCCCCCAGGTTGGGAACCACTGTTCTACAGTATCCTGAGATACAGCACACACATACTGCACAAGCAGGAGCTGTTATTTTTGCTTTCTTTTTGATTTATCCACTCAGAAAAGCTAAAAAGGAAAGGCAAATAAATGTTAAGAACACCAATACACATAAAACATGACTCAGTCTAACCCTGTGGGAAAGGGAACAAACAACTGGAGCTAATATTGTTCTACAATGGGGCTGTAGGTGAGAACAAGACACACAAACACTCTCTCAGGTCATGAACTGTTTGAGCGTCCACTAACAGCCCAATGTCTCTCTCTGCAGGGCAGGGCGTGGATCAGAGTGGTCCTGATGGAGAAAAGATTATCAGAATACATCTCATCTGCACTGAGGGACTTCAAAACCACCAGGTCTTAATGTGCTGTTCACACACTGTCCACACTGTTTCCCCTTCAACCATATAATGACATACTATCAAAGCAAGTGTACTTAGGAAGTTAATCTACAATATTACCATGCTGCCGGATCATTTAGATCTTCTTACACTTGACCTCCAGATGTCTAGTATCACACATCAGTTGTTGAGATCTGGAGGAGTTGAATCAATGTCAATAATGTACGCACGTGTGTTGACTAGGAGGTTTTACGAAGACGGAGCGGTCATGCTGGGAGAGGAGGCAGGGCTGCTGGCAGACACACTCATCGGACTCCACACCATTGACTTGAGGTACTCATTACATTTGGCTATTTCTCACTGTAACTCTTCAGTCCTGCTTTTGTTCTTTGTTGCTTCTTTGGCAAAGTGTCATAGGCAATAGTCTAGTTGCCAGCTTAGGGAACCCGGAAATGTTAAGTACACCAAAGTTTTATAATTTATTTAAATCTAGGGTTAAGGTCCCCTGCACTTGAGAAACTGCCAGATGCTAACTTGCATATTTTGCACAATTAGCATAATTTGCGTTAATTCAAATGAATGGCATTATAGCCTATGTGGAGATTTTCTGGTTAAAACTGCCATTTTTGATCCTGAAAATGAGAGCATCCTCAACGACCCCCAAAACAACTCCAGCATTATCCAAATCAACCATTTATAAACTAGTGTTCCCATAGGCTATAATGGTAATTCATGCTTATTTACGTAATTTATGCTAATTGTGCAAATTGCCCAATATATGAAAGTCAGCATCCGGCAATTTCTATGTGCTGGGGACCCCTACTATACTTCTTTTTTTTTTTGCAGACACAAAAAATAGAACATACATGGAGATGCTTACATCCATGTAACCTGTTGTGCATCTCTGTGTTACAGAGTTACGTTAATGTCTTCCTTGGACACCAAAAGGACATCCAATATCTCAATGCTCCTACTATACATTTGAAACATAACAATTTGGTGTACTCAACGGGTTCACAATAGGTGGCAACTAGACTAAAAAGTAACAATCACGATAAAAGGCAACGGTTAACGGGGTTAAAAAGGAGAATGTGGGTGCAATAACAACCTGCTCCAATTAAATGGAGTATAAATATGTTTTAGATGATATGTTGTATAACTGAAGAGGAACTAGACATTTCATGTGTCACCATCATAAGTGTGTCAGTCAATTTGGATAAGAGCTTTCTGTGAACCACTCTCTACACTACAGGTTTTTTTACCTAGGCCATAATCTTTATTGTTTCTAATGCTTCAACAACACAGGCAGTGATTCAAGCTCACTAAAGTGTAGCAGGCAAATTATATTAGTTCTTAACACAATATACTGCAACTAACAGAGAAGCAACGGGGCCAGAGTGTCGCTGCCTGAACTGCAGGTGCATCACTTGCAAATGTTGCAGAACCATGTGATAGTGTAAGACAAAAAGCTTTAAAGGATTAATCATATGCCTAACACACTTGTGCATTAGCAAAGAGGAACAATGATCCTCAGCGGAAAACTGAACGCACTTAATAGGATATCTGCTGAACACTACAAACTATATCCTCTAGAATAAACGTCAGGTAGAATCAGTCATCTGCCTCACTGAATAGTTACAAATGTTTTCATTTACTTCCAGGTTGTTAATAGTGCCTTCGATGAGATGAGTAGTAATGATGTTGAATATGCAGAAAAACATTTGTGTTTGCAGTGTTGATATTTCTTGCTTTTATCATTCTCAAATAGCACTTTATTTCAAATGTATGATAATATAAAATACATGAAGGATTTGAAAGTATTTGAAAAATAAATCTAGTAGCTATTATGTAAATGTTTTATGAAATCATCTGACACCAATCAACAGAAAAATAATAGAAACGGATGTATTCAAAGAAATTAATTATAAAAATAGATGTTTGTTCCCCTACTTAATTATACTTTACTCTTGAATCATAAATATTGTACCAGAATAGTTATTTACAAGATAAGTCGGTTAAAAATCTGGTAAAATAACAGATTTCCTGTCTTGTAGCTTCTGTCTGAAAGGAGAGGGTCTGGACGGCAGCTGCCCCGCAGTGATCGACTACACGCCGTACCTGAAGTTCGCTCAGAGGTATGTGAGATCAAACAACGTCCATCACACAGTTCATTATCAGTGTACAGTATGGGCAAACAAAGCCATTTTGGCTGGTATTTAGAATAAATGTACATTTGAAACGTTTTGAATATTCAATAATTCAGCTTTGGTCTCGAGGGTCAGATTCACTGTTGGCTGGATGTTTGCTAATATGAAATGTGCTTTGCAGTGCAGAGAGCATCAGCAGTGACGAGGAGGAGATGAGGACTCTGGGGAGCAGCGGCAGCGAGAGCAGCACCCCCGACAAAACGGCCACCGCCGCCTCCATCTTCACTGAGCAGAGCAACTTGGTCAGCAAGTGCAAACGCTTTGAGCAGAAGTACCGAACATCACTGGAGCAGAAGGTGTGTGTGTGTGTGTGTGTGTGTGTGTGTCCTAGCATTACTATACTTGTGGGGACCTAAATCTGTTTACACAGTCACGTGTGGGGACTCGCCTCCCTTATGGGGACAAATTGGAGGTCCCCATGAGGGGAATCATTAATTTTAGGGTGAAGACTTGGTTAGGTTTAGGGTTAGGTTAAGGTTAAGTGTAAGGGTTAGGCATGTGTTGGTTATGGTTAAGGTTAGGATAAATCTCCAGGAAATGCATGTAAGTCAATATAATGTCCCCTGAAGTGATGTATACATGGTGTGTGTGTGTATGTGTGTGTGTGGTTATTTTGGGATAAAGGGAATGGTATATGCAAATTTCACATTTTCCATGATGATTGCATGATCATTAGAGGCTCGAAGTGTTGAACGTGAGTTCTGTGAAGAGATTTTTTTTTACAAGCAAACAGAAAGCTTGATGTTATTTCTTTAATTTACAGCATCTGTAATATATCTTACCTCTGCACCTCAGCAATTCATCTAGACGATGGCGAAATCACTTCTGATTTTGTTTGCTGGCGAAAACGAACTCAGACGTGAATTTATACAGCAGTACCTTAATGGAATTAGCCAAACAAGTGGAAAACAAAGTGTGTGTGTTTCAGGGTTACCTGGAAGAGCTGGTGCGTCTCCGAGAAGCCCAGCTGTCGAAGGCCGTGTCTCATAACAAAGCTCTTCAGCAGAGCCTAGCAGACACACACCTCACACACAATCTGGAAAAAGAGCAGCTTGAGTACATCATACTGGAACTACAGAACCAACTGTGAGTCCATCCTGCTCGGTGTGTGTGTGTGTGTGTGTGTGTCAGTGCATTTAAGGGATGGTGAGATGGAGGTGTGTGTTTGACATTCAGGACACAGCAAGAAGCCTGGAGGCTGCAGGCAGTTTGGTATTTGTGTGTTGCTTTAAGCCAAGAGGAAAAGCTGCATCCGTGTTGTTTCTTTCAAATTAATGTTCTAATCCAGTGTTTCTCAAACTTTTTCATACCAAGGACCACTTAACCAATAAAAAAACACTCGCGGACCACCTAACTCCACAAATATCCAAAAACACATCGTTTTTTACAAATCGTCTGAAAATTGTACAAACAAGTGGCAACATGTGTGATGAAGGTGCTTATCTGGGCTATATCATGCAATCGGAAGTGAAACTTAAGCTCGTTCCATTGCGGAGATATTCCCGCGAGAGTGCGAAAAACTTAAATAAATGTATTTATTTTAAATGTGAAATGTTACCAATATACTCACGGACCAATAGGAGGCGCTCACGGAACACCAGTGGTCCGCGGACCACACTTTGAGAAGCACTGACAGTGAGAAACCCCTTTCTGTGTTTGATTAGTAATTTAATGCAAGCTACAGAGTCTGTTAAATGGATTAGTGTCACGATTTCTGAAAATGAAGCTGCAGTCTCAAGCCAGTGCGATGAGTCAGTTGATGTTTTGAAATGAAAATAGAGTAAAAAGCAAAGTGACGTGGAGTGCTGAGAGAGAGAGAGAGAGAGAGATTTTCTAAATCTCATCTCAAAGATATTGATTTTACACCAACACTTTACAAACTATCAAGGAGCCCTTCAATTTGGTAAATGAATAATTGTAATCGACATATGTTTTGGGACATTTTATTTTTCAGTAACATGCCCTCTGTAATGGTGATATATTTTTCTAGCTACGTGTTTTTTACTCTTAAATTGATTGTGTTTATTTTTTGAATTTCTGTTTACTTGATGTATTTGATAAGAAAAAGGAATACACACAGTAAAAAGTCCTCGAGTGGCTGCCAGACAAACCGTTTTTAATGTCTTATATTTGTGCCTGATCTGCCTTCATTGAATGATTCTCCTTGTTTTTATTTTTGAGAGTTTATTTAGTTCATAACCTGTGTGTAACTGTGCCTGCTTTTGTCTTCAGGACGGTGCTGAAAAACAATGATTTGCGGTCCAGACAAGAGCTGACAGCCCACCTGACCAATCAGTGGCCATCTCCTGTCGCCTTGGATACCAACGCTGTCGCCTTGGACACGCTGCTGTACAGGAAGAGCACGGGACAGTGGGAGGAGTATGTACTAAGAGTTCACATCTTCTAGCATCAAAATCTTAATAAATCTCAGTTATTGACATTGAATTATTGAATGTTCACAAACATGCTTAGCTGTTGTTCAGACAAGGAGATGTTGCTTATTTATCTTTGTCAATAAGCTAGCTATTCCTAGAAAAGAAGGTGCTTTTATGAAGCGTCCAGTGTCTTCTTCTTTGTTATTTAGTTAAGAGACTTTCCTGAAAATGCGCCACCGTTGCGTATCTTTGGGAGCAGGTTAGTTAGTATTTAAGATTTCATTCAAAATGATGGCTAGCAGTATTTACTGCAGTAAAAACATGGAAATCATTGGTGTAGACTAGAGCATATTTAGATACAAGTATCTGTGAATAAGTCTCAAATCACAAAGACTGTTCCTCCAATTTATTGTTGGGAATAAGAAATATGGGAAAATGTGTTAATTTCTTCTAATTATTATAATAATAATTGTATGAAAGAAAATGCTTTGATTGTGTTTCTCTAACATTACTAAAATTATAAAATGTTTTACGATACATTTCCTGTTTATTGTTTCAGCCCAATATCTTTACTGATCTTCTGTCCTCTCATTGCAGGAAGAGTTTCCAGAGTCTGGAGCAGCTGTCTGCAGACATGAGTCTCTCTCAGATGTCTCTTGACCCGTCCCACACTCTGAGTCTGGAGGCCAGGCCCCCCGGCACACTGTGGCCCCACCAAGGTACGTCTCCCACTGCAAGTAAACACTGGAGGGTGTCCACTCCGATGTGAGTATTGATTATGTGTATCTTGTGAACCAGGTAAAGAGGAAACCCCGTCTCTAAGAGGTCTGTGCGGCTCCCTGACGTCGGTTGCGAGCTACAAGTCTCTGGCCAGCCTGAAGTCCAGCGAGTGTTTGGCCAGTCCTGCGACGGAGATCAGCAGCCCGGGCTTCACTCCGTCATAATGAACGGAGAGATAAACAAAAACACATCTCCAGACAATCCAGGAACTCTCTTCATTTAGGTCATGTAGATTTGTAGACATTTATTTTCTGTAAGTGGAACCAAGCGCTTTAATAGAAATAAATCAGGTTTGCAAGTGGAGAATTTGGTGTAGCATGTTCTCTGTGTTGAAAATGAAGTGCAGTTCTGTCGGACTCATTAAAGTCTTTAATATTAACGTAATATCCAGCGGAAATACCCTCTGACTCTTATTAGAGGATCTGCTGCCTTCATCGATCTGTGTTTGAATTATTTAGTTTCTTTTTTTGTGGAACTTCAGTTTTTGTTTCCCTTTTTTAAAGGAAATAAATGAAAACAATAACAGATGATGTAAGAATTGAAAGGTTTGCCGGAGTCACAGCATGCATATTCAGTATGAAAATACTGAATATATAGATAAGAAAATACTGAAAGCCTCAGTCAATGTTGGCACTATGAAACATTTCCTGCAGTTAAAAGGGTATGTTATGTTCTGCTACTGCTGTTTATTTAGTTTAGTTTTTGACAAGTAATCTCTTTGATTTACAATGTATGTACTCTCACTTTTGCCAGATTACAATTTCAAAGTTTTACTCTATGCTGTCTCACATTTCACGTCAGGTGTAAATACTTTTATTTGATCAGTGCTGCTTTGTCATTGTTGTACAAATTGCAGTCCCACCGGGGTTTTGTTCTCAGGTAATGATCCCTAAGATAATATTCACCCTTCACTTCGGAGTTTACTTTAAAGTCCAGCTTCATCAGACACCGACACTTGTTTTATTCCCTTTGATTATCAAAATGTAGTATTTTGATCACTAGTTACAACAAATAGGTAATTCCTAAAACTCTATGTTAAGACGTTGTTAAAAAAATACTTTGCAACAGATATTTCTGAGAATGAGAAATGAGTGAACCATCAGAACATTTCTATTTGTTTTGTTAGCGACTAACCGTATACCTCAACACTGAAATATGATTTTGCCTTTAGCTCGTTCCAGCAGTCATTTGCACAGACAGGCAAATAAATCTAATAAAACATCTGCTGCATGTCTGTCAGACATGCAGCAGATGTTTTATTAGATTTATTTGCCTTTTCATTCTTCATTTTGAATAAACTGCTCTTACTCAAACAGTGAGATTGATGTCCATAATGAGTGATGTGAACACGTTGCATAAAGTCAATGAATGAGAAATTCTAAAGAATATCACGTACGTATATTCAACATTTTAGACGTAACATTTTCAGAAAGTTTACATGATTCACAGTCCTCTTTCACAGTCTCTTCAAACTGAAAACAAACTCGCAGCTTCAAGATGGTACGATTTTGGCTTTCGTGTTTGTCTCTGTCTCACACGTATTCACAGGTCACAGGGAATTGGAGAAGAAGTGCAAGAACATGGAGATCTGTTCTCGGGGACAGGGGAGGATACACTGACTGAGCGTGACACAGAGGAATCAGTGGAGATTAATCTTACATCACCAATAAATGACTTCAGGCACAGTGCACTCGATCTTTAAAAAAAAATACAGATTAACAACACTGGGGTGCCATCTGCTGGCAGTTCAATTCATCAAAAAGCATTTGATTTGAACACTGATGAAAACATCACTTCTTTTCATTACTACACACAGGATCTATCGCATCAAATCATAGAATACATTATAAATACTAATTCTAATAATTTAATATAAATCTTTGTACTCAGAAAGGGTAAAGTAGTTCATAATTTTGTTCATTTACACTTATACTCCCCCCCCCTCCAGAGGTAAACTCTAGCAGTAGTTCTGGTTGGTTTGCAGAGAAATGACAGGGAATATATCAAGCGTTCGTGTCCTGCAGTGGCCTGAGTGTCCTCTCCTCGTTGTGTTTGCGGAAAAAAGTTTTTCCGAACTCATAACTGCTGATCATGATGGCGCAGGCTGGAGCCACTTTGATCAACCTCGGGATGAAACCTGGCAGAGAGACAACAGATCAGAGGAGCGATTAGATGCCATGTGGTTAGACGTATCTGTAATCATTGACAAAACATCACAGAAGTATCTACCTGCAAACAGTCCACTAAACCCGCCCTGCGCCACAATCCTGCTCATCACGCTGAAGGTGGAGGAGGAGGAGGAGGCCTGACATGACACTGAAGAGACAAAGATAACATCACCATCAAATGACACATTTAACTGAAATATAAGACGGACCACAAAGGATTTAATTTCAGTCAAATAAAACGGCCTTTTTTGTCAGATAAAAAAACCAAAACGATTTATTCCACAAGGCCAGTCCTTTGTGCTGGCATACATCAGGCTCCTAACTAACGCTTGACCCCCACAAAGGAAATGTAAGACCTGCACAGGAACGATGCAATTTCACAGTTTCAATACTGAGCCTGAAACCTATCTGCAGCACAAAGAGTCCTCAGATGGGCTTTTATATCCGTTGGGGTTTGATGTGATACTTACTTTGGACTTTGAACTACTCGTATATTTATTTAAATGTGTAAATTGATTGAGACTGAGGCTTTTTAATCAACAGATTGCGCATATGCCCACTCACTACCTCACACAGCGATCCAGTGCCGCTAAGGGCAAGGCTCCCATTGTTTGCTTTATCTTCAGTCAAATATCACATTTTTATTCTTAAAATAAGATTCTATTCTGCGCTCTTACCTATATCTCTCCTGTGTTTCATCCTAATTGCTGTTGACTTGTTTTCCAGGGTCTTAATAAAGTTTTATCTTGTATTTCGTTTACTGAGAATGTATATATTTAAAGGAATCTAAGACAATGATTTGGATGCACAATCTTTTCATGTGAGATTAGACAAATGCAGAAGTACCACCCGGTGAACCTATTCCTTGTTGGGAATCCACTGACATACAACATTTGCAAACTTTAGTAACATTTAATTATAAAGAAAAAGAATAATGCCATAATTACAATTCTTTGCTTGTAGCTCTCCCAGCTCCAGCTGCCTTCTCGTTTTGACGACATCAAAGGGTAAAGTCACAATGGACGCAATCTAAGAGAAATGGACAAATGATTAGATTATGGTTTACTTATATTAGATGACAGTTTATTATATTTGGTTTCTTTTTCTAGAGGTTGAAAAACAGATGCACTTACAGAGCCAGACATCGCTCCTGATACAAAGGTGATGGTAAGGGTGGGTTCTCTGGTGTGAGAGCGCTCACACAGCCAGCTCTTGCTCTTCTCGTAGTTGTACCAGTACATGGCTGAGAAGGGCACGTCTCGCAGGAGCGTGGGTCCCAAGCCTCTCCACAGAGACAGCCAGCCCTCTGACTGCACTGCAGAGCGGATGCAGTCAGTCAGCTCCCTGTACGACTGTTTCTGCGACTGCAGCTGCGTACGGATCAGCTCCAGAGGGCTGATCACTGTCGCCGAACCCACTGACACACACAGAGGAAACAGGGAGGAGAAGATCAAAACACATCTTCTCAAAATCATACTGTTGCAGAGAAAAATGATTGAAATGCACTAGGTGAAAATTATGTTTCACCATGGTGGAGCATTTTGTATTTGAAAAGAGTAGTGCATGTCAAGCAAATTGTATTCAACCTCATAAACTGCCCTTTTTAAAACCTGAGCCATTATTAAAAAGTCAGGGTCTAAATTAAAATCAAGAGTAACACAATCTGTTACTTAAACTACTATCATAATTTAAATACGGCAATAAGGTTATTATTCTGGAAGGGACTTCAGTAGATAATAGATGTGTTCCATTCTGTAAACACTAATTAAATGTAGAATAATACATGTTATTTATATAGCGCTTTTTCTGGTGGTCAAAGCGCTTTACAAGCAAGTAAAGAAGAAAAGTAACAACAAAAGTAAAAAGTGTAAATCTAGATGGAATAGGGGCGAGGGGTTAGTGGATTAGGAGTTGAAGGCAAGAGTGAAAAGGTGAGTTTTGAGGGACGATCAGCAGTAATTGATGATGAAGCTCTAAATAGAGGTGGTCCTGTTCTCTTGATGTGACAGCGGTTAGCTCACCTCTAGCGACCGCTCCTGCCAGGAGAGGAGCCTCCTGAGAGTAGTCTCCCATCCTGACCCGCAGCGCTGAACACAGCTGGTCGTAGCACGTGAAGTAGATCACGGTAGCTGGGACTGCCATAACACTGAAGAAAACATATATATCCACAGATTATACTCAAGTGTTCCAAGCAGGGAAAAAGCAGCTACAAAAACCACACCATTCACCAAGTGATTTATCAAAGAAAAATCCATCAACACTTTTCAGAAATCAATCTTTGGTAATCAGCCCTGAGAGACAACATAGGTGGTTTGCCACTAAATGGTACAACTTAAAAAAAGAGAACACAAGACTTCACACTCACAGGGTTGGAGGTAGACCGCTCCATAATGCCTTTGTTCCTTCTTGGCGCACTATTTTGACGAAGGCATCCTGCAGAGATGTACAGTGTGGAGTCAGTGAAATAAGACAAACAAGCTATGGTACAGGTCAAAGTAAGGCTACTAATGTTTTACTGGGGTAAAAAGTGAATGTTGACATGCATGGGCTATCTGAAATGTTTACCAGTGTGCCATTGAAGTGACTGGGGGCTTTGTACCAGGCCTTAGTGTTTCCATTTTCACACACGCATATGTGGTCCATAAGTCCATTGCAGTAAACAAAGCATTTCCCTGAAAGGTATTAACACAAGACAAACTCATGTAATCTTTGAACCAGTACTATATTAAGCATAACACCAGAGCAACAAAGTACATATTCATTATACCTTTGGGGAAGGGATTTTTCTGAGCTTGCAGTCTGATCTTCACGACATCCAAAGGAGTAACTGAAAAAAGAAAGACATTAACATGATCCTCCATGAATGAAATTAAGCACATATGTTTTCTATGGATCCTACCACCACCTTTTGTGGACAAGAGTATTTAAACAACAGGATTTAACAAGTAAAACACTCAAAAATGATAATAACTACTTGTTTTGAATGTAGGAAATGTACTAGTAATGCTGTCTTCAATACTGCAGTGCTAATTTTACTTAAGTATAGATATAACTATTCCATCACTCAGATAAATTGTGCATTACACGAGATGAAGCAAGCAAAGCCTCAACCTAGTTATTTGAAATAAAAAGTGTAGTATCTCACCAAACAGAGATGTGATGATGGCTCCGGAGCAGGACGCCACCATCTGCTGAAGAGGGGTAATGCCATTACTGGCTGCAGGACTTTGACGACTCATACTGTCTTCTTTAGAAACAACACAAAGATACAGTTTGACATTAGACATATTTTAATATGTACATAGGCTTTAATTTATACTTTTCAAAATGAGTTAATGAGCAGCTACAGAAAGGTCAGCGTTAGTAGTACGTTATAAAACCATGCATGTGTCGTAACCATGGTCGTAACATTACATGAAAGCAGCTCCCTAGAATAACCAGTTAGTTAATCCATGTAGCTCACTTGTTAACTTTACCTGCTACAGCGTCTCTGCGTTAACGAAGCCTCCCATGTACAGACACACTACTCTCAGGCTATAAAAGACAAAAATAATAACTTAAACACGTGTGTGAGTTCAGGAGCTCTAACCTTAGCTAGCTGTTGAGTTTCCACAGAAAACATTGCATGATGACATTTCCTACGCAATAGGCATTTCAGCAGAGCACATTCTTGAACTTTGGGTAATTACAAGTTACATTTGATGCAATAATGTATGTTCAGGTAATTACACATTCAGTGTATCAGATGTATTCGCAAATGAAACAAATGTTGCTATAGATTTTTAAGGTATATATTATTTGTTTCAGTAATGTGGAAACATCACATTCAAACAGAAAGGATGCATTTACTTATTTCCGCCGTTGCCAGGTTTGACGAGTTTCCAAAAGAAACACAACTACTAAGTTTCTCGAAAGTATGGAAATTATGTTTCTTAAAGACAAGCAGATTATATTCAAGAATACTATTTGATTTAAATGTAATAGAAGAATATCTATGAGTATTAAACTGAGAAATATGTGATTATGTGGTTACGTGACCGGAAACTGTCAGACATGGCAACACATACTTCCTCTACTTACTTTATGATTTAAAGCGGGAAAGAGATGTTTTGTAAACCCATGATCTCAAAAGTTGACCGCAGCTGTATAAACAGTTGTTAAAGCTCCTGACAATGGATACCCTGCCTTAAACAAACAACGCTAACACAGGCGTTGTGTGTGAAATAATGTAACGTAAATTGAGCAGACGGAGCTGTCTTTCCGCCGGGGAAACGTTATCGTTACACGGTAATCCTGAATTCAAAAATTAACGTTATCGTCAGTTAGTTTAGCTTACATTTCAATAGGAAGGGACCAAGGACGTGAGGTTAGCCTTAGTGTGCTCATACTTTATATCCAGTCTGCCTTACTGTTTATGTTCTTCTTATGTTCTAAACAATGTCTTTGTTTACACACAGGGACAAACATGGATTTTCTGGGGAATGTTTACTAAAGACAGAAGGGCAACAACAACTTTTGTTCTCAATGAGAGAGAACAACATGAAGCCGAAACACACCCACAGGCATCCAGAACCCAACTGGCAAGGTAATGTTTATTATTGTTATAACATGATTAATGTTATTATTATTTATATTCTTGTATTATTATTATTCCAACCCACAATATGTTTATTAAAATGTTAACACCATGAAACAGCCTTTAATATTCATATAATACACTCTTAGTGGTGGAGGAAGTATTCTGATGTCAATGTGAAAGCTAGTGGTCAAATACATAGTTAATATGTAGTTAAATACAAATAACCACATTTTCCTCTGAGATGAAGTTTAGTAGAAGTATAAAATAGTTCTCATCTGAGATCTACAAGGGACCTGTCTGTGTCCCTCTCATCTGTGAGTTTTCTGATTGCCTTTCAGGGAAAGGAGCCGGTAAAGCCTGTGAAAAGGCCACACTGAGCCAAGCGAAGCCAACATGTGTGTCCTCTCCTGCTCGAGTCAAACCTTTTGCTGGGAAAGTGTTTTACCTGGACCTGCCTTCAAACAGAAAAGCAGAGAAATTGGAGGGTGACATCAAAGACCTGGGAGGGGTGAGACTAAACACATTTTTCAAATGATTTTATATTGGCTGTCAGGAAGGTTCAAATCTTTGTCAATTCTTCTGTGCTACATCACATAATGCTAGATTTCCTCCTCTCGGCTCAGCGGACTTTATCAGGCTTCATCTGATCAATAAAGGCTTGTCTTATCTTAATTCTGATACTATTAATGATGATTGAAAAAACACACTAGGGCTTGGTGTTGCCTGACATTCGTCAATATTATTAGCAACACAATGCCTGAGTTTTGGTTTTAATATTTGAGTAAATACAAATTATTTATTTTTTCATTTAAAAGACAAACTATTTAACTGTTGGCTGAATATAGACAGCAGAGTTAATAACATTGTAAGTTAAATCAGGAAATATTTGATTAAGATAATAAATGTTACGTTTTGGACATTCAATACCAGTTTGGCCAGTATTCCATGAACTGCACTGTGGACACGTTGTGGTTATTATCAAAAACAATTATTGAGGTTTGGGCACAAACCCTTTCAGCCACCATAAGCATAGTCGGTGCGTTGCATTGGTTAAAGAAGGTGGTATAAATGTCTTAAGGCTTTCCTCAACAACTGTTTCTCTCGTTTGTCACTCAGACTGTTGAGAAGTTCTTCAGTAAAGAAATTCGGTATCTGGTGTCCAACAAGAGGGAGGCTAGATATGTGCACTGCCTCAGGAAGGACTCTCCGGTCCCCAGCCCGGGGTCCGGCCCCAGCTCCCCTCAGCCGGCACCACAGCAGCAGCAGCCTGGGGACAACATGAAGGGCAAGTCTCAGGGCCAAACGGATTCTGTGAGTTCACCTTTGTTGTTCAACTATATCAACTACAGTGCAGATTTGTCGCCTATGTCACTTCTTACCGTGACAATTTATTTCTAGATCATTTTTTCATATTCTTTTCTTTTTGTCTTGCAGTTTATTCCGAGTCGAGGGAAGTCTTTGGTGGAGAGAGTGGTGAAAGAGCAGGTTTGTCAAGTCAACACTAGCGAGTTAGTGAAGAACTGTTTTCTGTGCTAATACACTTTGTTTGTTTTTAGGAGAGGTTGAAAATGAACAAGATCCTGTCAAATGCTCTGGAGTGGGGTGTGAAAATTGTCTATATAGATGGTATGTTGTCTTAAATAATGGTAGATGTAATCTGTAATGTATTTATAATTCTGAAAATAAGTAATTGTGTTTTTTTTCTGCCACGCAGCTATAGTTGCTTATATTCAGAAGAAGCAAAAGAATTGCAGCAGGCAGTGTCCGGCTACCACTGCTGCCAAGACAAGTGTGAGTGTACAGGTTACAATTCTTCAATGCATCCTTTTTTTAAATTGAATAACATTTTGGGATTGTTATTTTAAATGAAAAGTTTGGATTTAACCTTGTAGAATAATTGTAGCTTTTTCTGTAAATGTTATAGGTCAAAGCTGGCTCAGCAGCAAAGCAAGGCTTTCAGAAATGCAAAGGTACATTGAATTGACTCATTACCCCGTCCTCTTTAATGTTGTCCATTGTTTTAATTGCTTTGTAAATGCATACTTGAATTTACTTTGACTATCAACATGTCTGTTCCAGCGGGGCGGATCAGTAAACCCTTCGTCAAGGTCGAGGATTCAAGCAGGTAAAGAGACAGTTTATAAAAATATGCTTGTTTGCCGCTCCTTTCTGAGGGTTGTTTACATCTGACTAGAAAATATTTATTTTGACCTCCTCAGGCATTACCGTCCTATCAGCCTCACTATGCCGAACATGCCGGTGTTCAACCTGAAGACTCTTCCTCCCTGTAGTCCCTTCTTTGTCCACGACAAGGTGAATTCTGGGATTAAACAGCCGGGACACAGGTACGGTGTTTCCTCTCTGCGTGGCTCTCCGCTGATCTCAGCACAGTGTGTCAAGCTGTCACATGACTACATTTAAAACCACATTTTAACCACTGAAACTAGCAAATTCCACCAAAAATTACCCTTAAGGATCTTCAAAGTTATTTTAACTAACTTACTTTTTAACTCGGCTCCTTCTGTATTTTTCAGTTGTATACTATTTACAGCACTGTTAATACAAATAACTGATGTTCTGTTAGGGATGCCTGTTCTCAAATACTTAATTCATATTGTGTGGTGAAGCCAAACTATCAATTTTGATGAAATATAACTCATCACACTTGTAAAAGAAGTTGCACAGAAGTTTTAGTTGGCACTGCTGGAGCCACTCTTCAAGCCCGAATGATATTTGATCAAAATGCAGCGATCCAAACTGTTTTTTTTCTGATGTTTGGTTTTATTTGTGCGACCTCTGGGAACAGAGGTGTGAAAGCCTCGGCCAGCGAGGAGCGAACAAACGTCAGAAAGAAGAAGCGAGGCGGCTACTGCGAGTGCTGCCTGATCAAATATGAGAACGTCTCAATGGTAAGTTATTTTGGTAAAAAACTTTCAATGCAATACAATTGGAATACATTAATGCAGGGCTATTCAATTGGCGGCCCGCGGGCCAAATCTGGCCCCGGGGTGATATTTACTGGCCCTTTGAGTATAATGTTTTTACAATATGATAAAAAATATTAACAAATGGAGGAGGCTCTTATACTTTTGAATTACGTTAACATGTAATATAACCAGGGCTGCACATAACTGGTGCGCATGCGCACCTCCGCCAAAAAAAGAGCACCGGGTTATTTGAAAAAAAGGCGCATTTGCGTACCAACATTGAGAGAGGGAGAGAGGGGAGAGAGAAAGATATTTGCGAGTTGCATATGAACTCAGGGCCGGCCCGTAGCACTGGCGTTATAGATGTTCGCCTAGGGCGCCAGATCTGGGGAGTCGCTGCGCTGACAGCTCTGGGAGGGAAAAAAAACATTTTTGACCGTTGGGGCTCATCCTAATTTTCGGCCTTGATGTAACGATATTCATAATTAAGTAAATATAACACCCTTTTCACCCCGGTTCCACCTTTCATTTGCCCTGTACGATGGGCGCTGTAAGTGATGAAAATGGGGGATGTTGGCTTATCTGGCGCCCGCAGCTCACAGACAAAATGCGAGTGAGCGAGGGAGAGAGGGAGGGTGGTACCAGCGCTGTTGTTATTATAATCTGGTGCCGTGCTAGCTGCTCTAACGGAGATAAGAAGAAGATGTTTCTACAATAATGTGGAGGGAGAGTCCTCTCCAGTCAGACTGAGAGGCTGATAAGTTAACTACAGCTCAGTGAGGTTAAGGACTCTGAGTGTTTAGATAGTTAACTTTAGTCTAAGTTATCTCAGTGGGACTAAAACGGTTAGATCACAATTGATGTAAACACACATTGCCAAGGCACTCCTTTATAATTATTGGGATAAACAGGTTTCAAATCATTCCAATGTATACTATAGGACAGTAAACCAGACATATCCTTTAAAACTGGAAAGATAAAAAAAAATGCATAAATAAATGTTAAGGTAAAATAAGATATGAATGAACAACACAAATAAAATAAGTTACATTAATTTGTTATTGGCTATGGTAGGCTATTGGTTATGTTCACATACTTATTTGATTACATCCACTTGTCTAAGATGACAACAGAGACTTTCGACCCAAACCCAGCAGCTAATCGCAGACTCAACCAGAGAGAAAGAAGTAGGCCTACATCATCAGCTACCATGTCTGACAGAGAGGAAGACAGTGAGGAGAACAGTCAGGAGGGTAGTGATGACAGCTTGTAGGATTACTGGTCGTGCTAATGTTGTCTTGTGTTCACCTCTGCATGTGTGTTCAGTGCCGTGTGTCTGGCAAATAAAGTCAAGACCCCCTCAAAAGTTACGGTTTATTTCATTTTAAGGATGAGCACCAAGCAACATCTCCAGGTGGTCCTTTGAGAACCAGGCAAAACAAGTCATGTGCACCCCTGACTATAACTGTATATTGATTATTAGTATTTGGCCCTGTTTTAATTAGACTGACAAAGATGGTACATTTGTCTCCAAAGTGTCTGTTTTTTTTATTGAATTTAAAGGAATAATAAGGGAAACTGCATTTTCTCTATAATGTTATTCTCTCTAGGCATTTGTGAATTGATTGTTCATGCAATGGAGGAAATGGTGTGTGTAGTACCCTCCACTAGACAGCTGTAATGTTGGGTTATTAAACTGGCTGATTTCCTTTTTGTTAAGCATCTAAAGAGTGAACGTCACAAGGATTTCTCCAAGAGTGATGAGTACCTGGTGGTGGACCAACTGGTGTCAACCCTGCACTGCAACTTCCTCCACATCAAATCTCAGGTTAAAAGGTAATATGACCAAACTTCCACCTATATAATATATGTTCACAAGATTATAAAAACTCAATGTGTTTTTGATAGACCTTTTGTCTTTCTATTCACTCTACTCATGGAAACTTGTCTTTGATTCCTTTCAGACTGAAGTGCAGTGTTTCCTCTGTTCTCTTTGTTCCCGAACCCTGTGGGAAAACTGCTCTGAGACACAAGACGGATCTGGATCCCACAGAGATTATTAAAGAAGAGCAGCATCAGATTGCTGATGGCCACATGGGATCTTACTCGGGACACACTTTAAAAATCAGTTCAGTTACTGATTCTGCTCCTCTCAATCACATGGAGGGGGAGAGGAGGAACAATCACGCAAACTCGGACAGATCAAAGCACAAATCTCTTGCACGTAAACGGCCGTGCCGACAGAACTCTTTGACTTCTCCCACCCAAAAAGCAGAGCAGACTCTGAATGATCAGCAGAATATGGAAACAGCGCCCTCTGGAGGTGAATTTCTTCCCTCTATTCGCTCCAGAGAAACTCAGGACAACAAGGAGCACCAAACAATATCTCCATGCATGAACAGCTCTCCCTCTCACCTCCATGATGTGAACACTCATCAGCTAGAGGAGTCTGATGAGAAACAGGACTCCTCGGTGTGTGAGGCTGCTCAGGAAGGAAACGTTCTGCCCGACCAAAAGACTGGAAACAACCTCTCGGAAAGGGAAGAAGTGAGCCTTCCTTCAGCAAGCCTCTGTCCTGTCCGGAAAATACAGAGGAGGGTGAGAGTTTATAAACGCAAAAGACGGAAAATGAGCACAAACGATGAAAGTGTGAAGCCGAGTGACATCCCCAACAACTCCCTGCTGAGACTTTTTCAGTCGACTGACGACATGGAAGTAGAATTTCTGGGGTTTGAGGACTAGGGAGAAAGGAATCGAAGAGATGAACTGGACTATTACTGCCTTTTTAAATTACTTGAAGGATACCATATTTATATATATATATACATATTCATATACACTATAATCTCTCCACAGGAATCTCAGTAGGCAGAATGATCTCATTTTGTTTTATATCAGATGTAAGGCAGCTGCGGATGTGCTGTGTTTTTCTAAAACTGAAATGTGGTTTTATGTAAATATTTTGTTAGAAAAAATAATAATAGCTAGTTGCTTTAACCTGAATTCAAACTCTTAATCGACTTTGTGAAGAAAAATAGGGTGGTGTAATAATACGCACATCCATTGTTCTACATTGAAATATCCACTAATTGCCCACATGGTCTAATTTGGTTAAAACATTATCATTTGTTCACATTCTTGACAGTATGTCAATATATCTAATATTTAATCTTAGAAATGCATGACAAATTTGGGCCTAAACATTAGTCCACAGTCATTTATACATATAGTTTCAGGTAGATACATTCTCTAGAGTAGATGCTATGAAATGAAATGCCACCTGAAGACGTCACTGCTCTGAAGAACAGGAAAAAGGCCCTAACACTTTAAAGTCCCATGGAAACATTACAGAGGCCTTACATTAGAAAGGAAAAGTGATTTGTGTAAAAAAGAGTGTATGTAATAAACTATTAGTGAATAGTTTATTTCCATAGTTTACAGACCCTACTTGCAGTTGTTTCCCATAAATATTTTTCATAAAAATGTAGCATTTTGTGAAAGAGGCAGCTTAAATTAAAACTAATTTCCCCAATAACCTGAACAAAGGTAGTCTTGAATCTTCTTAGATATGCCGAACTGATCGTATATGTATTTGAAATGCATATAATGGTTGCATATGTATTTGAATGTGAATGTCTCGTAGGTTGGATGTGTGGTACTTGACATTGTATATGACATTTTAGGATTATTCCTAAGTGCACTTTTCATGACCCGCCTTGTGCTTTTCTGATGCATTAGCTGGACCAGCCTCTCTCTGCCCTGCAGTTAGTGCATTAGCATAGAGCCCTGTTCTCCCTTATGGCTCTCTAAGTGATGCTCTGGGTCAGATGGTAGTCTCTGCCACTGACATTAAGAAAGACCTGAGCAGCAATGTTCGGAGGCGTACAGTAAGTACAGCTGCAAATAAAAGCCCGAAAGCAACACTGAATGCAGACATTATTGTCATTTGTTTCTTGTTTCTCATACAAATTCTGAACTACTGAAAATGCTTTTATGGTCATACAACATGTCACACATAACCTGTTAACATGCTCATTAGGTGCATCCATGAACAGTTATATTTTGCAGGGTTAAAGGGGCTTGAGTTTATACGCATAAACTGTTTTTATTATACGGTGGCTGTTCTTAATCCATATTAACATTAACTTTTGCCAAATTCTTCAGACTTAATATGACATTGTGACATACTCTAGCTCTTTGCCCAGAGCCACACCAGCTGTGAGTAAACAATCCTCATGTGTCATGGTTCGGGGGATAATCAGAATTAATGAACGCTGTTGTAGGTCTTGTTTTAAAGTGACACAATATTTTGTTGATGCTCCCATGTGTCAACAGTTGGAATGTTTTGTAGAATGAAGGAATGAGAAGCCTTCCTAAATAGCTTTTCATAAACATGTTGTTTGGCCCAACTGGAACACATTAATCCACAAAAACAAAATTGCCACACACACACACATGTTCTTGTTATTCATAGATGGCACATGATAGAGTGACTCATGACAACAACAGGCAGGTTGGGGCAGGAATGGCGCTCCTGCAGATCTTTAACATGGAGGAAGGTGCAGGAGGCGGACGATGATCATCCCGGAAGGCCGGGCCCGCAGCTTTTCTCCATCCTGTCTCCACTACTCGTTCATATTTATGCATTAGGCGTTTCTGCAGTGAGCCGCTGGATATTGATGTGTTTTAAGGAGGTGTCCCTAGTCCTCCCCTCCCCTGCACCCTCCCCTCTCCTCCCTCTCTGCTCCGTGCTGCTGCTTCGCGGGTCGTCGGTGCGCTCAGACGCGCTCCGCGTTCAGACTTGTAAGGACCCCGATGGCCCCCAACCAGAGGGACTGCGCTAACCAGACGACCAGCCCCAGCTTCAAGCTCCCCTAGCGAAGGCAGGACTCTGAGAGCCTGCTCCCGGAATACCGCATTGTTTTATAATTTCCAGCAGGAGAGTGAAAGGTGATGGTGCTGATGATGCGCCCGCGATGGTGGATTTCCCTTTTGTGCGTCTGTGGATTGATGCACGTCGGCCACCAGAGCAGCCCTGATGCCCAAAATGGTAACTGATGCTTTTTAAAATATTAAATCAAAAACATCGTGCTGATAAAATACTTAAATTACCATTCACAGGCCTTTGTTTGTTTTTGTGTCATCGCTTCGGCTAGTTGATGGTTTCCCTCTAAAATATGCATTGTGCCTGTAGCTGCTTCTTGTTATCAAAGGAAAAATGAACCAGTCGACATTTCAGATGGCGGTGTTTATGGTGAACGTGCCTCCGTTTCCCGCACGGAGGGACAGGCGGGTAATGACATCTGTGTTTTCCTCTCTGTGCAGGAGACGCCTTGTCGAGCTTGAAGGCTCTTCGTGATGCAGGCAGGTTTGTGGGAAAGGAGGACACGGTGCCTCTCCGCCTGCTCTACAGCAGGCACAACCACAGCCAGATCACAGAGGATGAGCTCAGCACCAGGGTGAAAGCCAGCTCCGGCTCCAGCCAGGTACACAGTGTTTTGTTGTCCGGATGGAGAGGAGTGTCTGCATGGAGGCTGTGTGTGTGTGTGTGCTGCTCTCTGCTGCCTGCGTGTTTATGTTTGTTTCTCTTCCTCTACCCTTGTTCTCAGAGGGTAAAACTAATAATTAGTCAATTACAAGCAAAACAGCAGAAGCTTGAAACAATTAAGCCTCTCTGATTAGACTGTGCAGGTACTATGGGTCATCACTCTGCCTTTCAATGGATATACAATATTTAGCTTATTGATTTGTCAACAAATGTTTCTCTATTCACACTGTACATTTAGGCAACTGTAGGAAATCTGCCTTAGTCATCTGGCCAACCAGGATAATTAATAATGTTGTGATAACTTGCATCTTGTGTGTCCAGCTGGGTTGCTGTCCCAGGAGCTGCCTCACCTGCATCAGCTCACATAAAGCAACATTTTATTTTGTATTTTAGTCAATTCATGCAAGTCGAGTTAAGTGGAGGGGATTATATATTATCAAGAGATCATCCATCGATGTGAACGGCCCATGTACAAAACGGTTACACATGTCTTTGAGAGTCCCGCTTTCACAATGTTCAGGTGTAGAGAGGGCTGAGAGGACAACCTTAAGGCAGGAGATACAGTGGCCTCCCCTGCCAACTGATTAGAAGGGCGTTAACAATATTTATAATTTAACTTTTTCCAGCATTTGTCTGGTTCAGGGCGAATACCAGTAGTTGATATGTTTAGGCATTTTTAACCCATGAAATGCCAATTTAAAACAAATGTTTTTATGGACGTGTTTCGTCACAATCTAAACAGTCATAACACGGTTAAGTGCATTATCTTTTTAATAACCACATTTAAGGAACACATTTTTGTGATGTGTTTATGTTAAAGAACGGTACTGCTAAATGCAGTATCTGTTTTTGATTTAGCTCTCAAATATCTACATTCTTCTAAAAAAAACAATAACATTTTGGCTGTACTAGCTCAACATCTGAATACAGTGATATCTCTAGAAAATATGTTCTAAAGTAGGATTGATAACCAAGATTATTTGATAATGGTTGTATAGGTATGTTTACAGTTCTTTAGTTAACACCACTGTTTGGAACAAGCACACCACTGTAGTCTTATTGGCTTGGGGTAAACTTTGTTTTGCAGTAAGTTTGGACAATAAAACCCACAACCCATTATGTTACAAAATCATGCAGAGAGCTGTTAGTGATTATCCAAACCCAATGTTAGCAACAACATAGTTTGACAGGAAACCTTACATTCCGCCTTGTCTTTAATAACCAATGCAGTGCAGTAATAATCCATATCACTGTAGCAGTGTTCACTGACTCAGTTCAGTGAAGTCTGTTGGGTTCATTTCAAGAGACGAGTCAATTAGCATTGTGCAAACCTTCCATGCGTTTTTAATTTGTGCAGCTTAGGTTTGCTAGCCTATTCAGGGCCCAGAGATTGGAGACGGCTACAGATGGTAGCATGCAGGGAGGTGTTAACCCTTTGTCCCTCTCACACATCAGAGCTGCAGCCCGATGGGTAAACATGCTAACAGCAGCCATCTGCCCTCAGATATCGTTTTAGTGTTTTCCTTTGAAGCTGATGCTAACCTCCATCCTTAGATTAATACAGTTTGTGCAGGGCAAAGGAACATTTTCGACTTTCTACAAAGATTCTTAAGAAGATTAGCTAAAATCATGCTCAAAATATCATATTTTCACGGGTCAAGTACCTTCTTAGGAGCCTATCTAGATACGCATTTACTTTTTGAGTTGACACCTTTAAGATGTGTTTATTTAGCTTAAAGATGTATCGTCAGCCCATGGTTACTAATTAAAATAACAGATAATAGGTAATGGTTGTAAAGTTCTTAATTATCGGTTAAATCCAGGGTAGAAGAGGACACGTGCCTCTCTCATTTTATATTTGATGTTCTGAGTCTCTTATTCTCCAGAGGCTTGAATCTGGTCTGCAATCAGCCGTGATGCCACAAGCACGTTGCAAGTTTGATAGGTATTTGGCTGTTTTTAGACCAACAGTCTAAAAACAAATCTGTCAAATAGTTCTGAAAATATGTGACACACAGAAGTTTATAATTAGACTTCAGTTACATTGCCTATTTTCAGTCTCAGACACAAACAGCTTCACCGTGGAGAGTTCAGCAGAGTGCTCATGTTGTTTTGGTGGAAAAACAAAAGCTTCCAGTGGAATCAGTGTGTGTTGGTTTGCATGCTTGCCTCTCGTTCTGGGCGTTGATAGCACTTACAGTCATACTTCGACAGTCATTAGTGGAAAGTCTGCTATAACTCAGAAATCAAGAGTCAGCGGTGGCTTCAGAATATCGGCCCGGCTCAGTGAAGCTGGGATGTGCTTTCATTAAACACAATTACTGGTACCTCCTCCCATCATGGATCCAATCCTGCCAGATAAGATTTCATCGCAAGTGTGCCATGGAAAGGGATTGCCCTTTGAACGCACTCACACACACACACACACACCCACACACTCTCTTAGCCGCTCATATATGCATTGACCGGGCGCAGACACACGCCTTCAAACAATGGTCTCTGGTCAATGGGGACTTCACGGGCTGAGGTCGTGCTTGGGTGAGCACAAGGGCACCTCCTGAATAAAAAAATTAAAAAAGAACCCGACACACCCCTCCTCCCATCGCTGTTATGGGGTGTCCGGTCTGTTGATGAAGGTAGCCGGGGGGGTGAGTCTGGGGGAGGGTGAGGCGAGTTTTAGCCCAGCTCGGGGACTCCCCTAGACCTGCAGAGCAATGATTGGGCCGAGTTCTCATTGACCCGAGGGTTTGTAGTGAAGCCTGTCCCATATGTGCCCAGAAGACCCTCCTCCAGCCAAATCAATCACACACAGCAGTCAGCGGAATTATATGGTTCAGTATGGGATGAGGAATATCAATGAGTCCTTGGCGCTGTGAAACATACAAACTCACTCTGGTAAACATAGAAATGACGTGTCATCGAGGTATAATAATATGTATGCGTTTTTAATTATGAATCATGGTGTGAGATGGTATTACATAAAATGCAATTGCATGAGATCCTTTGCAGAAATTCAAATTCAGTAGAAGACAGATGTTGATGGCTTAATATAAACAGTCTTCCTACTGCTGATTGGTTCTTAAAGAGACAATGCAGCCATCCATCAATGGAGAGGAGAATTGATCCTTGCATATGATAATGAATAACTCATGAATATGATAATGTCTGCCTTTAGTAATAGTAAATAACATGTCTTCTCTGCTTTTCCTAGGTGAACCATGTGGCCCAAGCAAGCTTTCAAGTGGACGCTTTCGGCAGAAAATTCATCTTGGATGTGGAATTGAACCAGTGAGTAACAGTTATTATATAATTACATCTGTCCGCCTGAAGAGGAATCCATCTACCAAAAAGAATGTCTGTCTTTGCAGAGGTATTGTAAGGTTTCATTTGCATTTTACTTTTTTAAAATAGTGTGGCTTGGCTGACACTCAATATTGTTTTTAAGGCAAACAAAGGTGGCATGGTTCTAATACCAAAAATGTTCTTTAAATATGAATTGCTTGCAAAACTTGCTCCTGTTTAGTGTAAATGATCTTGAGCACATTTTGTGCATCAATCGAGTGCTGACTCCAGTATTTTACCTGAATCGTTCATCGTGGTTCTGCGGGTCATATTTTCCTGCTCTCTGAGGGAAGTGTATTGCCTGTGTTTGGGAATGCACTCTTAAGACATTAATATCTAATACCGGTGTGTGCTGTGTATGAATCAATGTATCTGTGTGAATATGTGTGCGTGTGTTTGCAGCAGGTCAGTTATTGTGTGCGTGTGTGATTTAGAGGTTCCATCATAATAGGAAGTGATTTACGGTAAAGGCCGGAGCGCTGCCCTGCCAGACACTGATATTGATCACAGTACTGCTGATGGAAAGCGAGGAACTCTCTTCTTATTTCACCTCTTCCTCTCACTAAGCCTCTCCCTCTCTTTTTGTCTCGACCTCATACACTTTCATACAATTGAACCCTTTGGCATCTATATCTAAACTTTTCTGTGATTGTTTTTTGTTTCGGTTTTCCACCATCTCTCCTTGAGACCAGGGCTTGTTTGTCTCATTTGGCACCAAAACAGGAAGTCTGTAAACACACAAACATTGATGCTGCCTGCTCCTCACAGCAGAAGTCACTCCCCCACAGTGAGAGCCGTTACATCACAGGAGTTCCCACGTTTGGAGGAAATGTTTCTGAGAAGCCCGCAGCTCACTGTGTGACGCATCAACCGGTTATGGATAGAAATGTGTCGTTCACACATTGACAAATGCACACACACATACATTATTCATGCAGGTGACCTTGTCTGCTTACAGCTTCTTTGTAAATCTAATCTTTACCTGGTGTGGTGCAGAAAGTCCATCAGAAAGTTGACCTAAAGAAGACAATTGGGAGAAATCCTTTGTTTAACTTTCCACAGAGTGAGGTAGCCTCCATGCAGACAGCTCCGGGGAACAGTTTGACACGTGTGGCTCTGAATAAGAATGAGATCAGTGCTGTGGAGCTTGGACTGGAAATCTTTACTTTTCTCTTTTTCAAACAAAAACAACAAACATTTCCTAGCTCCAGTTTCTCCTGTGAGGATTTGCAGTTGTTTGTGTTTTATCCGATCATACTGTATACTGAATGTTTTTAGAGATTTGGAATATTGGTTGGGAAAACAAGATGGGTGTATGAAGGCATATTTAATACCTTTGGGTTTTAAAGTGTTGTTGTAAATCAATCAAAAGAGAGTAAACAGATTAATCAATAATAACAATGATAGGTAGGTTTGCGACTAAGGATTACTATTATAGTTTTATTGTTGAAATAGTGAGAATTCGTATTTTATGGCTTTTAGTTTTCCGTCCTGCATGGTGGCAGATTTCCAATTCCCCTCTGAGTTTGAACATCCCAGATTCTCCTTCCTACTGCCCTCCTCTCTCCTCATCATCTTCCTCCATCAGTACTGCCCTCCTCTCTCCTCATCATCTTCCTCCATCAGTACTGCCCTCCTCTCTCCTCATCATCTTCCTCCATCAGTACTGCCCTCCTCTCTCCTCATCATCTTCCTCCATCAGTACTGCCCTCCTCTCTCCTCATCATCTTCCTCCATCAGTACTGCCCTCCTCTCTCCTCATCATCTTCCTCCATCAGTACTGCCCTCCTCTCTCCTCATCATCTTCCTCCATCAGTACTGCCCTCCTCTGTGAACTGATCCCCGGCTTCACGGCCACACTGATATTTGTTTACAGATATCTTCCATGCCAGACAGATTAAACCCAGTTGATTTGTGTGGGTGTAGGAGTGGGAGGTATTTTGACTGAATGGGCCAACATTTGAATTTTTGGCCTTCAGTTACAAAAACTAGCTCTCTCGTTTTGATCAATGACTGAATCTGAATCTGCTGCTTTGCATTTTTTTTGTGTTTAATTCTTGCCATGAGCAAACAAGACGATTTTTCAGCTGTAGTTGACGTCTGTGTCTCTAGTGCTACAGTATTATCATCATTATCATCCTGTCTGAGCCGCCTTCTCAGAGTCTTTGCCCCGAGTTAATGTTTCAGCATAGACTGTGAATAATAGCAGTGTAGGCGTATCGTTATACAGTCATATGTCTTGTGAATTGCCACCACATTTTCTTTTTGGACCCATGACAGTTGTTATATGTACATTTTCCGATGTTAACTTTTAACTTGGTTAGATTTGTCCCAGCAACAATGTGTTGTAGAAATTGTATCTGCTCCATGGATAGCAATGTCAACCGATGACAGTCTGTCAACCACTTTGGACCTATGAGACATTGTCATGTCATTTTGTACAGACATACACTCCTAGTGATGTTGGTGGTCCCCTGACGTTTTGTCTCTAGCACCGTTATGAGTAGCGAATTTCAGTTTGTTCAGTATGTGTTTTGAGCAAATTCCCAAATAACGAAAAGCATTCCCATCAGGATCAGATTTGTGTTTAGTGCTTATAAGCAAATGTTAACATGCTAACATGATAAACGAAGTTAGTGGACACGGTTACCATTACACCTTCCTAAGTAAGTAAACTAATGTAGTCTCATATAGCCTCTAGCATGGCTGAAGACCATAACAACACCTGTGTTATTTATTTCATCTGCTAATAATATAAGTATATTCTACATGCAAACAGACATTTCATTCTTAAATGTCCAGGGATGTACTAATTAGCTTATATTTTAGACCTTTTTAAATGTTTACCATCCATCCATCATCCAAACTATAACTGATTCTACTTCAGGGTCATGCAGGCTGCCTATCCCAGCATGCACTGCACAGGAGGTTGCTATCCTATCACAGAACAATGAAGACAGATTTGGTTAAGATAAGAATATGATTGTCCTGCATGGTGAGCATAATTGGAATATATATTAATGAGAGGTTTATGGCTGTTCTTTAGATGAAATGTGTCTATCGACACAGGTCACCCGGTGAAGTGTGACTGTCCATGGAGAGGAAGTCAGGGGGGGGGTTGGTGGGTCACGGGGGTCTTTCTTCCCCCTCTGTCTTTGTCTTCCTCTCACTCCTCCATCACAGCGGCCGGCTACAATTTTACCATTCATGGGACTAGAGCTGAAAATGTGCACAGGGTGGGGGTTGCCTCCTTTAAAAAAAAACACACACACACGCACACACACACACTCAATCTCACACTTACACACATGTCTCCACCCTTGATTGCCCCCACACTCCACACCATCATTCTATTCAGCCATGCCCCAACTACCGCTTTACCCCGCCCCTCCCACCTGCTCTCGCTGAATAATAGATGCTGCTTTAAGAATAAAGACGAGTGTGTATATATGTATATGTGTGTGTGTATTTTTTTTTTTAATGGTTACCAGCTTGTCCATCGTGAGCTGAAAGGGAAACATTCAGATGTGTGTGAACAGTGTTGCATATAACTCTACAAAAGTACACACATTCAGTATACTCAAGCATGCACATACTCACTTAAATCTTGATGAGTGAAGTAGGGAAGCTAAACACTCTTGTGTGTGTGTGTGTTTATGTGACGTAGATTCATTTACAACATAAACCTCATATAGATTAACATAACAAAAAATGGCAGGCAATAATTCTAGAAGAAATTCTGCTTAAATGTATGTGAATTGATCACCTTGGGATACTTTTCACAATGTCCTGATATTATATAGACTTGTATATGAAATGACTAAATTCATGATGTCCCCAAACATTTCATTATATAATATTAACATTGATCATTTAAATAATAGACAACATACATTATTATTTTTGAAACAGAATAAGATGATATGATGAAATTGTGAGGACAGTGTTCCACTAATAGTACGTTAAAGGATATTATGGAATTGTGATTTGGTATTCATAAAGTATGTGGCTTATCTGTGTATGACAATGCGTGAGTTCAGACAGAGAGAACAGGTGGACAGGTCCAGCTGGGACGAGAGAGTTTCATAACTCCGTCAGTGTCGGCTGCAGCAGCATAAAGAGAAGAGGGCTTCTCCCTCCCCTCTGTGCGATGTTGAAACTGACAAACACTTTGAGTATTATTTCTATCACTGTATCGTGTCAGCTTTCCCTGCATTCACACAAATACTCTATGCAAATACTGAGGGTCAATTACAGGCAATGCTAAATGTGTTGTATTCCTGTGTGTGTGTTCACGTGTTCACCAGTGGATGTCAACATTAGTGGGGAGGGGGCTGGAGGAGATCGAGCACTGATATACATGGGGCCAAGAAGCTAACCAAACATCCCATGGTTCAGTGGTTTGGTGTGTGTGTGTGTGTGTGTGTGTGTGTGTGTGTGTGTGTGTGTGTGTGTGTGTGTGTGTGTGTGTGTGTGTGTGTGTGTGTGTGTGTGTGTGGTGTGTGTGTGTGTGTGTGTGTGTGTGTGTGTGTGTGTGTGTGTGTGTGTGTGTGTGTGTGTGTGTGTGTGTGTGTGTGTGTGTGTGTGTGTGTGTGTTGTGTGTGTGTGTGTGGGGAAGTTCCTTCCATCACAGTCGTCAATATAATGTGAAAATCTGCAGGGTTTTTGGATGTGTCGTCATGTTGGGCCTCAGGTGCAGAAGAGGCATGTCAAGTGTTGTCTTCATTAGAGATAACAAGACTGGATCGACAGAAATGAGGCTCAGACGGAAAAGGGGAGGATCAATACTCGAGAGGAGGAAAACCAAGGGAATTGGGCAAACAAAGAGAGGCAAATTAAATATCTGGTTCTTTATATTCAGTCAGTCTTGTTGGAGATTTCAAATCAGTTTATGAAGTGTTTGTCTCATATTTTGTTAATTATCTTCGTTTTAGACAAAGGTGCTG